GATTTAATGTTTTAAGGGGGGCAAACGTTAGGGACTGGTGAGATAATTGCCTGTTTTAAAGTGTCAGGCAGAAACCCATCTCTCAATGATTCATTGTAAATATCTTGGATTAGTGGTGCTAATTCGGGTGCAAATTGCTATAACAGTTTGTTCGATATTCCATCTGGTCCCACGGTTTATGTGTAGACAGTTTGTGCAAGTCGGATGAAACCTCTTCTAAGGAAACAAGCAAATCTGGTGGAACTACGTTGGCCGGAGTTTGGGCTGGCATCAAGGGTTTAAACTCTTGAGTTATGATAAAGAGCGAACATTGGGTGGTATCCAATACCAGTAGTATAGGAGGGACCGAATTAACCCCTTTTTTGGGGGGGAATCTCATTAAGGTGGGGGGGAATAAATTAACGTCGCTGACGTCATAGGCTATTGTCTTGATCTCATGAATAAAATGCGCAGGAATCTCATTAAGATAAGGTCGTGTGCTGTTTTAAGTTGGTTTAGGTTTTCTAGTTACTTTAAGGTCGATAAACGTCTTCGTTTTCTATTGGTTAGTTAGAAAATAAGAAAAGTTTTCATTGGTTAATTCATAGTGCCTGAGGAGTAAAGTCAAACTTGTCTCTGACTTAAAATCACTGAGACGTAACGTAATTATGCAAGTTCTATTTCCTGCTGCTGCGATTGTCCTGGTTCCGGTTCACTGATTTTTGGCAGGTAAATCGTGCATATTAATGAGGGCAAAGGCCAACTAGCTCTTTTTTACACTGCAAACAATGTTTTACTCACCCCTCTCCTTTTCATTTTTTTTTTTACTTTCCTCCTCCTCCACAATTTTATTATTTTCGTTCCTCAATGCCCTCCTCCTCCTCTTCCTCCTCCTCTTCTTGTATTATTTCCCTCCTCAATCTTAATTTCCCTCCTTCTCCACAATTTTATTATTTTTCCCCCTCTTCCTCCCCCTCCTCCTCACTTCTATTGTTTTCCCTCCTCCACCTCACTTTGATTGTTTTTCCTTTTCCTCCTCATTTTGATTGTTTTGATAGGGTCGATGTGGGATCGATGTAGGGTCGATGTGGGGTCGATGTGGGGTCGATGTAGGGTAGATGTAGGGTCGATGTGGGGTCGATGTAGGGTCGATGTGGGGTCGATGTAGGGTCGATGTGGGGTCGATGTAGGGTCGATGTAGGGTCGATGTGGGGTCGATGTAGGGTCGATGTGGGGTCGATGTAGGGTCGATGTAGGATCGTTATTGTTTTCCCTCCTCCTCCTCCACATTTCTATTGCTTTCCCTCCACCACCACCACCACCACCACCACCACCGCCACATTTCTATTGTTTTCCCTCCACCACCACTACCACCACCACCGCCACATTTCTATTGTTTTCCCTCCACCACCACCACCACCACCACATTTCTATTGTTTTCCCTCCACCACCACCACCTCCACCGCCACCACATTTCTATTGTTTTCCCTCCACCACCACCACCACCACCGCCACCACATTTCTATTGTTTTCCCTCCACCACCACCACCACCACCACCGCCACCACATTTTTCTTGTTTCCCTCAAAAGGCCAAAGAGGCCAAAATCAGGCCTAAAAGGTGGTGGTGGTGGAGGGAAAACAATAGAAATGTGGTGGCGGTGGTGGTGGTGGTGGTGGAGGGAAAGCAATAGAAATGTGGTGGCGGTGGTGGGTGGTGGTGGAGGTAGAAATGTGGCGGTGGTGGTGGTGGGGGAGGGAAAACAATAGAAATGTGGCGGTGGTGGTGGTGGTGGAGGGAAAACAATAGAAATGTGGCGGTGGTGGTGGTGGTGGAGGGAAAACAATAGAAATGTGGAGGAGGAGGAGGGAAAACAATAACGACCCCACATCGACCCCACATCGACCCCACATCGACCCTACATCGACCCCACATCGACCCTACATCGACCCCACATCGACCCCACATCGACCCTATCAAAACAATCAAAATGAGGAGGAAAAGGAAAAACAATCAAAGTGAGGTGGAGGAGGGAAAACAATAGAAGTGAGGAGGAGGGGGAGGAAGAGGGGCGAAAATAATAAAATTGTGGAGAAGGAGGGAAATTAAGATTGAGGAGGGAAAATAATACAAGAAGAGGAGGAGGAGGAGGGAAAACAATAAAAATGAGGAGGAGGAGGAGGAGGGAATTGAGGAACGAAAATAATAAAATTGTGGAGGAGGAGGAAAGTAAAAAAAAATGAAAAGGAGAGGGGTGAGTAAAACATTGTTTGCAGTGTAAAAAAGAGCTAGTTGGCCTTTGCCCTCATTAATATGCACGATTTACCTGCCAAAAATCAGTGAACCGGAACCAGGACAATCGCAGCAGCAGGAAATAGAACTTGCATAATTACGTTACGTCTCAGTGATTTTAAGTCAGAGACAAGTTTGACTTTACTCCTCAGGCACTATGAATTAACCAATGAAAACTTTTCTTATTTTCTAACTAACCAATAGAAAACGAAGACGTTTATCGACCTTAAAGTAACTAGAAAACCTAAACCAACTTAAAATAGCACACGACCTTATCTTAATGAGATTCCTGCGCATTTTATTCATGAGATCAAGACAATAGCCTATGACGTCAGCGACGTTAATTTATTCCCCCCACCTTAATGAGATTCCCCCCCAAAAAAGGGGTTAATTCGGTCCCTCCTATACTACTAATACCGCAATACCGTAAGAAAAAATGGCAAATACCGAAATACCGCGTCGAAAATCGTCTAAATACCGATCACATTTATAATCGGTTCCGCATACTTATGGTTGCTTCCATCTAATTTAATCATCTCAGGCATTTATGCACCAGATGTCCATTTCTTTTTTTAATATTTTGGTAGTTCGCAAGTTTTTCGCAAATTTTCACTGAAAAGTAAACTTCATTCGTTCAGCCTTTTAGTAGGTCGATCCAACAGCTAATTAACTCCAATTAAAACAACTCTTGAAAGCGCAAAAAACAAACCAACCAAAGGGATTTACACTGTAATGTCATGCCACCATTTCTTGGGGTTAGTTTCAGCCAGGCCGTCCACTTTGTTGTGCTTCGCCGTTTTAATATCGCCACGGACTCTATAACACCAGAGCCTATAGACTGGTGAATCTTTCCCATATTTAATAAATGCCGCTTGTCGCTTCTCAATCATAGATTTCAATTTCACTGTGATCCAATGTTTATCGTCCCTAGGGGGCGTTAGCACTAGTCCTGCAGAGTTGACCTAAATGCATTGATTTGTCTTTATTTAAAATCGACTACCGTACGTATTACAAGGACGTAATCGAATACTACTTTGTCAATTCAGTCCGGTGTCCGCTTAATAGAGGTTATTTTAATAACCTTCATTAAGCTCTATTAAGCTCTATTATTTTTATTAAAAATCGTTTAAAATGTGACGGCCGATGTCTCTTTTTTTATCTTACTGTTTACATGGAGTGGGGGACCCCGGTCTAGTGGGGTTGGTTTCTTTTGTTTTCACGCTCTGGGGGACACAAAACAAAAGAAACCTACCCCACTAGACCGGGGTCCCCCAATCCATGTAAACAGGGTCTAAGAACAAGACATGTTTCGATCGATCTACGATCATCTTCAGTTGCAAGTAATACATCTTCAACTGAAGATGATCGTAGATCGATCGAAACATATCTTGTTCTAACTTGAAAGTCGTGGTACATATTTTAAGGATTCTTGTTTGTCTGCTTCTTTTCAGACCATTTAGAATCAGGAACATATTGCCGCTACAAACTCGAGTCAGCTTATACAATGCCCTAATTCTCCCTCTATTAGATTTGGGGAGATAAGAACAATGACACCATAATGCCAGGTTACAGATCCTCCAGAATAAAGCTGCTAAAGTTCAGCTGGGACACCCTCCCTGAAGCTCGTCAACCGAAGCCCTAAATGTCTGAGATCTCAAGCCACTGTCTACGAGAAGGTTTTTTCATCGCTGCATTGCAGTCCACAAGTGTCTTATAGGAGGAACTGATTTTAAATTTAATTTTATCAAGAATCAAGTAAACAGGGATTCCTTTCTTGTTATTATAATAATTTTGTTACCTTTATCTTTTATAATTCATTTAATTATTCAAAATTATTCTTTTTGTCAGTTTCATTAATTATTGTTTTCCGTGTAATGCGCATTTGATCACGTATAGCATGTTAATTTGCGCATTTAAATAACAACAACAACAACGAGCTTTATTTGCATGACCAGACAAACACATACAGTATTGCAAAAGCTATGTTTAGGAATCAAAATTACAACACAGGGCAATTACGTTACTTTGATAATCATTTGTCACGAAAATCAAAACAAGCTGAAATTGCATATTGTTAAAGTAATTAGAAGAGTTCCTCAGTTCATTGATCAAAACGTTTATAGGTAACTGGGTAATATTTGGAATCAGAGTCTTGACTTTATAGTAAAACTGAATTTGTTCCTAATCATAGAGTATGTAGGACATTGAAAAAGAAAGTGAACTTCGTCTTCTATTACATTGCACGTCCACAAAAAGGGCAATGCCTATTATCCTTCGTAGTATCTGCCTGTTTCTATCATTAGTTTGTGACTGCTTATTCGTAGTTTTACTAAAGCCCTTCTCCCAGCTGTTCCTCTTGTTAAGTCTATGTAACTAGAGGATGTACGACCGGTTTTAAAAGATCTATAAAATTCAAGTTTTTGAGAATGTTGACGGGTGTTTTGCCAATACGAGATATATTCCTGTTTCACTGAACTCACAAAGCTTTTTACCATGGCTATATCTAATAAATCAGGGTTAAAGTCAGGAAGCCTAAAGTATTCTGACATATTCATTAAATGAGAGTGGAAGCTATTTTTGCCATTACAGTGAAAGTCGAAGGACATTTAAAAAGCTTGTTTGACGAGAGATTCCTCACCTTTAGACTGTACAGTATACACAAAATGTATTTGAGAATTTTTTGATTGATTGTGGAAAAAGACCAAGCTCTGATCTACAAGCTATATTAGAAGCTTTGTTGTTTACCTCCAAGTATCGTTTACAAAATTGAAGGTTTAACTTCTCGATTTGTGAGCCGTCCCAGGTCTTAAAATCTGGTTTGGTATACACACCCAAAATTTCAATGTTATATGTTAGAATAGCGGAGATCATAGTATCAAATATTTTACAGGCGAGAGCTGCTTTTAAGCCCCATTTACACGGCCGAAAATTTTTGGCACGGCTCGGATGAAAAAAGTACGCGTACCAAAAAAATTGGTTCGGCACGGATAGATTTAGTCATGTAAACGACTTTGGCCCATCCGTGCCGGATCAAAATTTCACCCGTGCTCGGACCATGTCGAGAGGTAGTCCGAGCACGGATAAAACTGGTACGCGATCCTGAAAATCTAGCCCAGCTCGGATAAAGTGTGCAGTGTAAACGATTAGCCGTGCCGAGCTAACTTTTCTCTGATGAGCCTTCGTGCCTTTGGTTAGCACCAATGTGGGAGAGCAAGTACAGATGAGCTTTATCGTTACTTCAATATAAACCAAAAGTTCAATAAACACGACAGTAGTTCAATGACCACACGTTAGTTCACTGATGAGCGTGGACAACATGCAGCTGCGGGGGAAATAGCCACAAATACGTAAGAATTTTTTAATATAAATGTGTAACATTAACTAAGTGGTAAATACTTTTTCGTTAGTTCAGTGTGTTCAATAACCACACAATAATTCAATAACCGCACCAGTATTCAATGACCACCCATTTGTTCCTTGTGCGTAGACTACATGCGGCTTTGGGAATTCTAATGAACTTTTCGTTCGCCATGTTTTTACAGAGGAAGCAGCATGCGCACTAGGCAAGAATCGAGTACGCTGGCCGAGATGTTGAGCCTTTTACCCGTACCAAATCATAATTTCACATCGTTTAGCACGGTAGAAAAAAGAACGTGTACATGAGTAATCAGTACTATTTTTTTGGTACACGTACCACTTTCATCCAAGCCGCGCCAAAAATTTTCTGCCGTGTAAATGGGGCTTTAGTTTGCTAAGATTCGTGTGTCGTGTCAAGCTGAAGAGGGCATGAAGAGCCTTCTCCTTGAGATGTTCACGTGACACTGAAAAAATTCCCGATGAGGACATTCGAGTTCCTAAGTGTACTCTTGTACAACACCAATTATTTGACTATCTATGAGAAAGTGAAAATCAGCATTTTTTTCTCGCACGTTTCTGAAAAACCATAATTTTTGTTTTCTTGGGATTGATTTTCATCATCCATGAAGTACAGAATGACTATAGTTTATCGAGAAAATTTTGTAGTCCTGTTTTGGATCGTGATAAAATGATGACATCGTCTGCATATAATAGAGAATTTAGTTTTGCACCGTTTGGCAAAACAAAAGGATCAGATAATGCATTTTCAAATGCGAAAGGTAGGTCGTTAATATAAAGATTAAAAAGCAGTGGACTTAAGATACAGTCTTGCCGCGCGCCTCTCGCATAACGGAATGATCGCGTTTGTTTTTGGGCAATTTAAATTAAGCAGGAAGAGTTGTGATATAAACTCTTAAATGACAAGTGGTTATATTGCTTGCATGGCTCACGCCTTTCTCTCTCTTCCTCACGCTGACAGTTAGACAAAAATGGCTAATTTTAATCACTCTTTGTAGTATTCTTTTCTGTACTGACATCTGTAACTGCGTAAAAAATGGTATTGAAGTTTTTATAGAAATGGAATCCAATTTTAATTCTTAAATTTTGTCCATCTTCCAAAACATTAACAGCAAACCATACTTTATATATTTCAGTTACGATTAGCTAAAACATTTACTGTGACCGGATTTTGCCAAACCTGTTTGGTTTTCCTACTTCCATTTGAAATTAAGAAGGTGAAGACTGAAAAGAAACTAACTCTGTTGTTACAACCAAAATCTCGAAGGGCAAATATCAAAACGGGAAGGGTGTATTGCTTGAAACCTCTCCTCCAATTTGCCACCACGTGATCTAAAATAGCCAGTAAAATCGCGCGAAGATAAGTCCAGATTAATTTTACAGTGAAACCAGTCGCCTGCGGTTTTCCACTTGATTGAACATGTTGAAATCATTTCTATGGTCGATAAGAGTACAGACCATGGAAAATTGGTGTCAATTTGTTGCATCGAAATCGCTTCTTATCATTATCATGATTATAAAAATCATTATTATTGTTATCAATAAAGCGCTGGGAAGGGATTGTTAAGTGTGAGTTTAAAATTCAACGTGCCATGTTTTGCTGTTTCTGCTTACTTTATTTAGTACTTGTGTCTATTTACAAATTGGTAACTCTGTAAACGAACTTTATTGTAACTTACATTTACATATCGGGTTTCATCAGTGGTTCATTAACAAACTGCAATTTTGCCTTGATTTTTTCCTTTCTAAAACGGTAAAAGGACAAATCTCCTACACATTTTAAGAAATTAGAGAAACCCGCGCGTATGCAGATCAGTTCCTCACCTTTTCGCATGCTTGACATGATTTACAATCTTTTCGACCAGGTCATCACTAAGACCTGGACAAGATGTCTCTACTAATTTAAATGCATCAATGAGATGTTCTATTGAACGTTCCTGGCCACTGTGACTTGAACTAAGCTGGAAAGAAAAAGAAAGAATGCCTTTAGGTCACTTTTAACATATTACGGAAGATGATATTCACTGTTGTTTCAAGTCATTATACTGCATCTGATCATAAGTTTGGGTCTGAATCCGAAAAACAGTCCATAACGGCCTTTAGGCGACTTCTTTTGCAGTCCACAAACAAACACACAACTTTAATAACAAATTTTAGTCCTCGAAGTTTACAGCAATGGGCGAGAACGTCGAATACAGGTGTACTAGATGAGACTGCCCTTAGCTGTGATGTGGTTTAAAATGTTATTCAATAGCTTGATCAGAGAAAGATAAACGTACTTTAATAAGGCAAAAATGTAAACAAAGATTCGCAAATTAAAATCTCCCTGAACATGCGATCTTCACAAGGAAACAACAGAAACTTTGCTAAAAATTAGAGGGGTCTTTTTTTCTTGTCAAAGAGACTTGCAACACTATTTTTACGTCACATTATTATTACTATTATTATTAGTTATAATTATTGTTCTTTAATTTCAAGGAAGCCTTTTAAAAAAATTCTGAAAGAAGGAATACACCAAGGTAGTCAACAAAGACATCAAAGGGTAAAATTCATAGAAAATACCTTGAAAGCGTGTTGTGGATATAAAGATAACACATTTATGAAACGTTCTTTGCAAACATCCTAATATTAAGCTGACAAGTACAACTACAGAAAATGACTGTCATCGCCTTGAAAGTACATAAGTAGCTTTCAGGATATCTGTAGTACGATGTACGACAGAAGTCAGAGTGAGAACCGACAAGCAGTTCTTATTTCACTATACTTCTTGAATTGATTCCAGCGAGGACGCCCTTACCTTGGTCAAAACTGGCAATAAAAGAGTTGATAAATACTTAGATGCCGAATTTGCTTCTTTCTTGTTGTCATTTGGTACCTAAAATCAATGCAAGTTACTCATATGAAGTTTGAACTCTATGCAACGCTGAATGTAAGCTCTGCCTGAGGGAAACTGAGAGTAGTCGGTTAGGAAATTTCCAGATTTGGGGCACTTCTTTAGCACACTCAATGGTTTTTAAATCAAGGCAGTGAGTAATGCATAAGAAAATCCTTTTTTAAGAACTCATAAAAAGTCACATTCTTCAAACCATACATTTATCCTTGCACCCCTTCCAAAAGTTTTCCAAGGTCTTTTTTTTGGCCAGTGGAAGTAACAAAATCTTGCACTTCTCTGATGTATGGCTAAGCTTCTGAGGATATGTACCTCAAACAGTTTTCTAAGAACCTCAACTTGGCTTTGCATAACCAAATCTAACAGCACAACTGTAACTTGTACTTCTATTGTGCGCACTGATGGCATTGATTATCAGTGCACACATGCTTACGGTATCGACAAAAAATATAGCTGCAAAACAGTCAAATAGTACACCAATCAGAGCATCATTGTGCTTCAGAAGAGGTCTGCCATTTCCAAAACCTCTGTTTATATCCAGAGAAATTTAAGGTGGCTCGACTGGATTTTTTGGGGTAGATACCTCCCAAGTTTGAGCATTAACTACGTCGGCATGAGTAAAGATATGGAAAAAAGGTTACCACAACTGTATTATATAAAGATGAAAATTTCCTATGATCTGGATTTTAGTGCAATCAGAGTCGCCATGGCAACGTAATGACGCCATTACGTTTTTCATTTATCGTTGTGTTTCTCTGTGCCAGGAGTTTTTTGAAGAAATCGCTTGAGGGAGTATGTACCTGCCATAATTGCCTCCATTATGGCAAAGTTTGAAGAAATTCTATGAGAGCGTTTTCCAAATATTTTGAAATGCAGTTTTAAGAACCATCAAAGCAATGAAACAGCATGCTAGCCGCACAATTCGCTAATATTTTAAGAAAATGATAAGCTTTGGAATCGCAGCTTCATCTCATAGTGGTTTGATTCCATTGAAAACTGCATACAAAAAAAAAAGGGGAATTGCTCTGGGCGATCGCGAGTAAGAAGAATTTTATTAACTTGCATTCAGCTGCTTTTGATTCAGTTTTGTATAGGTAATCACATGATTTCGAGTGCAATTTGGAATAAATAAGCACGAGTAAATTTTTCAAAGACCAACAAAAGTGCACGAGCCCGTAGGGCGAGTGCACTTTGTGGTATTTGAAAAATTTACAAGTGCTTATTTATTCCAAACATCATGTGATTACTTATTAATGATATACACGAAAAACATAACTACAACAACAAATTTTGACAGCGCGCGCGTTTTTAGTTCATTCAACTGATTGGCTGAAACAGACTACTACCTTTGTCAAATTCAAACTTTTTCCAGACCAATGCTTTCAAAATCATTCAGCTGAGAACTTGGAAATGTGCAAGGAGTTTTTTTATATGGTCACCAGCCGGTTAAAGATAACTTGGTTTACAACAATCAGGAAAAGTAAGTGTTTTTAAATTCATCCTCGATTATGAGAGCTCGGCGTTTACAAGAAGCGTTTTCAAGAAGTATACTGCCGTTTTGAAATCAGGAGAACGCTTCGAGCAGCCAAGGATGAAAGACACTTGCTAAGGTTTTTTAACGACTGTTTATCATTGTCTGTTCCTGGGACCTCATCATAGCCGGATTCATGGACAAATGTTTGAGATTTAAAACCCAAAAATGAAGGCGGCAATTTGTTTTCCTTCGACGCTGCCATCGATGGGTGAGTGGAGCCACAATTGTTGTGATGTCGGAAACTGCCAGTATTATATAATATTTGCCTTATATCAGCGCTGGAGTTTTAATTATCTTATTTGGCCTACTGCAAGAGTCATCGTAGCTCTTCTTAGTCGGCTTCATCGTGGTCGTTAAGGAAATTTATACCTCTGTGACCTGTGACACTGACGATACGTTCTGAACTTACAATCTTTGCTTCTTCAGCATCCTGACTGTTGTCTTTCTTGTACAATGATTCGTAAACTTTTTTCTCACTTTCTTTAAGGCAAGTACCAGCTGCGGATACTTTCATTATGTGAGTTGTGGTATTTTCGCCCATTGGTTTAGTTTGGACCAGATGTTTAAATTTTCGGTTTCGTTTGCTACTGAGGTAGAAAAAAACACAGACCATCGCATGGATGTTTTAATAGAGGTCTTCGCTCCACAAGACTCAAAGAGAGCAACAAATTACGTACATGACTTGAAATCCCTGTTGTTATCATGGAATTGTATCCTTGTTCATTCTGTAGCTGTCATGGTTTGTGTGTGGTTGCACCGTTTTTTTGTTCTTTATTTTTTTACTTTAGCGTAGTCTGTTGTAAGTAGCTTGTATTCTAGTTTCTCTGGCTCATTTTCCTCGATTTTGTTGACAGTATTTTTCTCTTAGCAACGCATTTTCAATACATTTAGCCAGAAAGACGTACTTTTTACTGTGTTCGGGTTTTTGGAATATTTTTTTAACTTTTCTATTGTTGTTTTGCTTACAAAATTAAATCCCGCTGTCGTCTGCTGAAAACCATGGCCATTTTCTTGAATTTTTGTTGTTAAAACATCTCTAATCTGATTGGTTCTTGTTGGTTTCTTTTGTGTTTTCAGCCAATCAGAAAGCATTTGTAATTTGCACTCGTGTTACAGAAGAGCTGCACTCCTTTCTCAGCCAATCAGAATTAAGTAATTTTTTCGTGTATATTATTACGGAGGTAATTTGGTCCATGCCTAAAAATTTCGCATTTTTCCAAAAACCGCTCGATAAATTTTTTATAAATTCGACAATCCCGAGATCAATCGTCAAGAAATATTCCCTGCAAGTTTCAAGAACATTGAAAACAGGGAAGGTTTTTAAATAGGGCCTCAAACATAACCAATTTTCCCCCCAGATTTTGTGTTTACAAGTGAGCGTCCTCATTATTCACTGGCATTGTTTTCAAGTTTCATATGCACGTGCACAACTAGCAAAAGATATAAATTTACATCAAAAAGAGCTCCCGATTACTTTCCGAAGAAATATCCGAAATATGCTAATAATTGGCTTGTTGTCACAGATAGCAGTGAGAGCCGAAACGGTGAACGTCACGGCTCATCGTGTAGGATGCAATACTTAATTATCTTACTCGGGTTATAACATCACAGAAACTCTCACAAAGAGTTGCTCTGATGTTATAATGTATCACTAATCTCTTTACCCAGTAATTAGCATATCCCGGATATTTAACCGAGGGTCCTTTTTGATGCAAATTCTTTCTTTTTGCTAAATGTGCACGTGTATATAAAACTTGAAAACAATGCCAAAGAATAATGAGGACGCTCGCTTGTAAACACAAAATCTGGGGGGGAAATTGGCTATATTTGAGGCCCTATTTAAAAGCCTTCCCTGTTTTCAATGTTCTTAAAACTTGCAGGGAATATTTCTTGACAATTGATCTCGAGTTTGTCGAATTTATAAAAAAATTATCGAGCGGCTTTTGGAAAAATGCGAAATTTTTAGGCATGGACCAAATTACCTACAAAAAGAGCATCTGAATGCAAGTTAATAAAATCCTTCTTACTCGCGATCGCCCGGAGCAATTCCCCTCTATTTTGGTATGCAGTTTTCAATGGAATCAAACCACTATGAGATGAAGCCGCGTTCCCAAAACTTATCATTTTCTTAAAATATTAGCGAATTGTGCGGCTAGCATGTTATTTCACTGTTTTTATGATTCTTAAAACTGCATTTCAAAATATTTCGAAAACGCTCTCACAGAATTTCTTCAAACTTTGCCATAATGAAGGCAATTATGGCAGGTACACACTCGATTAAGCGATTTCTTCAAAATACTCTTGGTACAGAGAAACACAAAGATAAGTGAAAAACGTAATGGCGTCATTACGTTTCCATGGCGACTCCGATTGCAATAAAATCCAGATCATAAGAAATTTTCATCTTTTTTCCATATCTTTACTCATGCCGACGTAGTTAATGCTCAAACTTGGGAGGTATCCTGCTAAAAAAAATCCAGTCGAGCCACCTTAAAAGAGGATCCTGTGTGGAGATCCTGGCACAAGTGAATTATGTTAACAATGCAGTACGTACTTTGTGGGAAGCATCTGGAATATTGATATCTGCACCAACAACATTTTCAACTTTCTCTGGTTTTTCACCTTCTATGGGCCAAGGGTTTTTTCTTTCTTGGGGAAAAATCCACTTTGAAGTGCCTACAGAACCAACTCCATCTCTGAAATGATACACAAAACAATGATAATGACAATAATAATAATAATAATAATAATAATAATAATGATACTACTACTACTAATAATAATAATGAGAAGAAAAAATTTTATTGACAACAATGCTAACTATTAAAATGCTATTTACAATTAACTCGCTTGAAAATAAGAAAAAACTATTAATTCAAAACACTATTTACAATTCCTGTCAATTTAACAAGCACTTAATTTAGCTTAGAAAGAGTTAATTTAACTAAGAAAAATTACTCCAATTAAAAAACATTTCATTTCAACAAAAAAAAACTATCAGCCTCTAAAAATCAAAAGTTTCTTTCAAATGTTTAAAAAAATAAAGCAAGATCTAATAAAAAATCAATTAATTCGGGCAGGCTATAACATTTTCGATCTGTAGCTCAGAGTCAACAAAGTCTAGCTGTCGTCTTCTGGATCTTGAGCCTCTCAAGCATAGTATCGCAGAGCGTAGGATTGCGAAAGATACTTAAGCTCTTATCCAGGAAATTGCCCTTGCGTAACTTTCTCCCTTCTTATTTGCGATCAGCTCCGCAAGTCTACTGTGGTACACAACAGACTCATCCGCCATTCCACCTGTGGTCGTGAAAATTGGGGGAGTGAACGTTCCCTGTTCGATCTCCATGACTCTTTCTGCATACTGCCTCTTCTTCTCGTTCTTACGCTTCTAGTAGATTTGCTTAGGAAGAGTCTGTAAGAGTCTGCATTAGGGTGACACACCCGAACGTCGAAGAATGCAGATCTCTGTCTCTCCCAAAAACCTCGAGCATGAATATCCAAACGGGCATCAGGGGCTTTGTTAGCGCCATGATTTAATGTCTCCCCAGTGACCTCCTGAAGGACCAGCTCTACTTCCACATCATTACAGACCATCCTTAGCATCTCTGCTTCCAAGTGGCGCAGTTCGTTTATGGCGCTGGATAATGAATCCGCCGCGCTGACACACCATTGCGTGATCCACGCTAAATTGAACACCGCATGCGCAGATCATAGGCGTGTCCGTTATTTCCCATTCGTACCGTAACTTAAATGCATCTCTAAATTCCTTCTTATTCAGATTGTAATCCAACTCTTTGAGGGGAAATACGGTCAGCCAATTTGATCATCCCTTCTCTGTAGCTAACTCAACAGCTCGCTTAGCTTTTGTCGGCAGGGAGTTCTTCACCTGCTCCAGCCGCTCACTTAGACAGTCGTCTTTTTGTTTTCGTGTGCTCAGTAGTAGTAATAATAATAATAATAATAATAATAATAATAATAATAATAATAATAATAATAATAATAAGTAATGGTAACAGGACTGAGTGGAGTCCAATTCGGTCTGTAATCATACGAGTGATTAACAAAATCGGACGACCGCGTAGCGGGAGTCCGATTTGTTTAATCATGAGTGTGATTACAGACCGAATTGGACGACACGAAGTTCTGTTACCAATTAATCGTAATTTTAACAAAATTTGTGATACAATAGACTATTTTTTAAATCAAAACACGAGAAACTCGAAATTTTGTTTTGCTATCAGTGAAAAAAAAGCCATTTAAGCGCGCGCGTGATGGCGCGCACTGTCCAATTACTTAGGCATGACGCGTACTGTCCTATTGACTGTCCAATTAAGGCTGAAATCAGGGCAGTTGATAGCCAATCAGATTTGACGATTTTGTTATAGTTATGATTATAATAATAATAATAATAATAATAATAATAATAATTTATCAGAAGTACCGAGAAAATTAGGGACTCAAAGTCGTGGGAGTGGCTTAAGAGAGGGAAGCTAAAAAGTGAAGGATTTCTCACTGCCGCACAAGATCAGGCTCCGCATACAAAGCTAATTAGGTCTAATTAACTCTAAAAATGCAGGACTTTTTTTTCGCCTATCCTTCGCGAAAAAGGGGGCAAACTCCCAGGCGTTCCTAGCAAAGACCGTGGAAACTGGGGATAAGAATCGTGACGAATCATTGTATACAAATAAGTCTTGTGATGAGCATGCGTTATATTTTCGGCGATGACTGAAATGACGCACGTAAGTTGAACACGTTTGGCAATGTAATTTTCCACGAATCGAGATCCTTCATTTTCGTGTAACTATGCATGCGTATTAAAAAGTCAATACCCCGAGAAAATATTATTAAATATTATTGTGGTGTATTGAGGCAATAAGTTACGGAACGGGTCGGTCCACGAATTCTATCACTTGAAAGGGTTAGTTACTAACTTTAGTACTCGAAAAAAGAACAAACTTCCAGGTTTACTGGAAAACCAGGATCAAGGATCAAGGATGGGTTAAAAAACAAACCTGAAAATAAAATAAATATATAAATCGTGGTTCGTGGTGATGTGGTGACCTGGGACGCAGACTGTAGATAAATTTCACAGAACATAACCCCGCTCGCTGTACTGACTCACTGAGGACTAAATTTAAGGGATTTAAGTAAAGCACTCCGAGTCTGACTGAATCAGTGATTGTTTTGACGAGAAAGTGAGATTTCCCTGGAAAATGAAACGCTTTATCCCATTGATACTGTGATAAAATGCATGCTGTCTAGAGCTCTAAACATTATACTCTGAGATCGCATAAACATCAACAGTACGAAGGTATTAAAAGCAGATACCAATCAGCCACAGAAAATGTAATTAGTTTCACGCAATTTTGATATCTTCTTAAACGGACAACAAATTCAACATGAATACGTGCGAACTGAATGGACTGTCTGTTTTATTAGCCATTTCGGAGATGCGTAGGGAACTGGGGCGAGTTTCAAATTTAAACTAATCGATAAACTAACACCACCATATAAAAGGTCATGTTGAGATTGGTCATTTGACCAAGTTTGGTGCTCTAAGGTTGAACAGGGATCAAGTTACGACTCTTGAAACATGGTTAAAGAGCCATACAAACCTCTGTAATTTTGTGACAGCGTCCCCCAAAACCATATAAACTCTTAATTTTTTTCACGATTTCTGTGATATTCCTAATAATGGGCAAACACAGTGATTTTCGAATTAGTTCCTTCCAAGTAGTAGATGCATGACGAATTTTACACTTTAAAAGAAAAACTGAAAAATTTCAAAGAGTTTGTATGGTTTTGGGGGACGCTGTCACAAAATTATAGACGTTTGTATGGATCTTTAACAATGTTTCAAAAGTCATAACTTGATCCCTGTTCAACTTTAGAGCACCAAACTTGGTCAAATAACCAATCTCAACATGACCTTTTATATGATGGTGTCAGTTTATCGATTAGTTGAAATTTGAAACTCGCCCCAGTTCCCTACGCAACTCCGAAATGGCTAATAAGGTTCTGCTAAACTTACACCTTTTTCCTGTGCTGGACAAAAACTGTACCAAGCCGTATCTTGGTCCGCTACATAGAAGCTAGATATATTTATACAGATAAAAATCATCGTTCAATTTTTTGAGTGTAAAATCCCTGAAAAAGTTCTCCTCCTCACTGGAGCAATATCAATTCTCTGTTTTCGAATTCCCCATGATACACTCCGTTTGCCCCCCAAATTCTGCATAAACCATTGTTTTTAAATGCTCCTGGGAGTATTGCATTTTCCCAAGAGCATTTTAAGACAACAAGTTATGCAAAATTTGGGGGGCAAACAGAGTGTATTATGGGGAATTCGAAAATAGTCAATATGCAAAAGGTTTTCATCAAAGGCTTCAGTACACTGGTGTAAAGTTAAGATGTGCAGGCGTCCTCTCTCTCCTTACAAATTTTACGTTTTGAAAATTAACATTATGTGATATAACACTCGCTATGTATTCCCAACGAAAAAGTAGCATAACCAGCTGACAACAAAACGAATCTCAAAGCAAGCGAGACTCAACGCTACTAAGAGCGTTCTTGTTGACAATCAAAATGTCTCCCAGGCACGCAGAATATGTGGAGAGAGAGTAGAAGTACAAGTCATAGAGTCATGATGAGGTCGCCCAGGTTATCCAATGGGATCTCAGCGGGAAATGCGGTTTTGAAAGGACAGCAAACTGGTAAGATCACAAACCGGATCCAGTCAGTGATTCTGAGAAGCACAAACTGTAGTTGAGTTTTAAGACCTAAACAGACCGTCACATTGAACACAACAAACCTGATATTGTGCTCCTGAATAAGATAAAATCGTGCATTATAATTGATGTTGCCTGCCCATTCGACACCAAGAATAGTAAGCAAGGAAAGAGAGAAGATCGATAATTACTGTGACTTGAAATATTTGGATCTGTCGTTTACTACTAGTCATCCCAATAGTAACCGGTGCACTGGGAACAGTTTCCAGAAGATTTGAAATGTTGCCGAGACAGTTGGGAACGCCACATTGTATGAAACTTTTACAACTTTTTTTAACCTTGCTTGGGTGAGGAAGAGTTCTGTGAAAAGTGCCCGACAATAATAATACTTGGCACCACAACGTCAGAAGTAGTTGCTAAGGGTGGAACGAGTAATGCACAACATATAGCAGACTGTGTACCTCAGTGATCCCTAGATAATAGGGTTCAACTGAACAGGGAAAAGTGAAAAGAACTTAGAATCTCCTTCACTAAAAAGTAGTCTGAGTTCCATCCTATTCTTGTGAATGGTAACCAACTTGAAGCAGTTAGAAGCGCAAAGCTGCTGGGTGTGATAATTACAAGCGATTTATCATGGAATGAGCTCGTTAACGAAACTGTAAAGAAAGAAACTAAACGTTTGTATTTCCTAGTTCAGCTTAAAAGGGCAAAGCTTCCATGTAGGGATTTAGTCCTCTTTTATGCCATATGTATAAGATCAATCCTAGTTTATGCAGCGCCTGTTTTTTTTTATGCTCTGACCAAGTATTTATAGTGTGAGCTGGAGCGGGTCCAAAAAAGGGCATTATTAATCATTTGCCCCAGTCTCTCGTATGACGAGGCACTTAATGAAGCTGGTATTCCAACCATTATTTCATGTTGCGAGGACATATGTGACAAGGTTCTTAACGATACTGTCGGCAAATAAAAGATAACAAACTTAACAAGTTATTAACTGAAGCCAATAAGGCTCCATATTCACTAGGAAATCACCGACACTTTGCGCTTCAAAAGTGCAAGACGGACCGTTTTAAGAACACTTTTATTTTGTCATCCTGCCTATAGTAGAATTAAATTATTCGGTTTTAATACTTTTTTATATTATATGCATGAATTTTCAACATTTTTAATATTGATGTATTGTAAATTATTCGATTTTTAGCTTAGTTTTATTTATAAAGACGCAATTCAGCCTCTGGCTGCCCATGTATTTATTTTAATAAACTATCTATCTATCTTATAACAATGATAATAATAATAATAATAATATGTTGTCAGTTTGTGGAACAGGCTAGATAAAGATCCAAATTAAAATCATAGGGTTTTTTTATTGTATCATAAGAATTTTAAACGGAAACTTAGCTAATTTTTTGGGTAGTTATTTTTATATATACTAGATAATGAATTATCGCTTTGTCTTGTATCACTGATAAACTCCGCAGGGGAGTGTACAATAAACTTCTTACTTTTTACTTCTTACTTCTAATATGACTGGGGTCATTAAAACGGGACTGGAAAAATATGTCGACAAAATTCCAGGTACAGCCAGCATCAACGAGCTCCAAAAATTACTATTTGGGGAACAGCTCACATCGTCAGAAAGGTTCTGTCAATCAAGTGAACTTTTTAGTACCTAAGGAACCGGTCATTATTTATGTGGGGGGGGGGGGGGGGATTTTTTTTGTTTTAGAATCAAAGAAAAAACGTGACCAACCCTTTAAGCCCATTAGTTAATTCTTGACCCACCCCCATATAACTTTATATAAGAGGTGACCCACCCCCAACCCCCTTCAATCTATACCTCTATAAGGAGTTCCTGTTCACTGAACGAAATCAGCATATCTTGTGGACCAGTGTCCTACTCTGCGGCCACTTCTTGTTGATGTGCCTTCTTGTATTGTTACAGTATGACTGTCATCATCTGATTCACTTTCGCTTTCACTTTCATCACACAAAACAAGGTCATTGTCTCTGTCACTCTCATCACTGTCCTCACCAACACTGACGCTTGAAGGAAATGTAGATTCCTTTGAAGTTTCATAATAGTGTACTGTGATTCACTTGATTTTGTCGATTTTCTTTCCGTTCTTGCTAAGTTTATTATGCTCAATGTATTTGTCCAACTTGGGGACTTTCAGAGTGTCAAGCACCCCCTTCTCTACAAGTGTTTTCCAGTCATAGCAATGCACATCTTTTAAGGCTCGAACTTGCTTCTCTTTTCTTCGCTCTTGCTTACGGATCTCATTGACACTTTGCAGTTGCGACAAGTGCTCAATGTAATTCTTCACCAGTTTTTCGTCTACAATGAACTTGGAGAAAAATTCTGTGATAGCATCCGATGCATTAATTGACAACTTCCCTTGCTCGAAGAGCTTCTTAATATTTGATCGTGGCTGCCAATCATCGGGAATGCGCTTCTTGCCATTTTCATCATTATTGGATGAAGTATGAACGCTCAAGTATTTAAATTCAGGAAGTGCAGATTTGTCTGGAATTGGTCTTGGTATTCTTTCAGTTGCTGGTCCAGTTGCTGGTCCAAAACCAGTTTAAAAAAATTTGCTTTTTTATTGAAGTCATTAAACCAAAAATAGTAATTCAATTAAAAAACGAATTTTCAAACTGTTTTTGATTTGAAAATTGGAAAAATTTGATTTCACTAAATTGAATAATGAATTCAATATCCATTATTGAAACCAATAATGATTTCTAGCTGTTCAAGCTTCAGGTAGTAAAAGTTCCCAGACAGTTATATTAAGAAAAAGAAGCATGCAAGCCTTCTCAATAGGGCTTATGTTTATTTATTGATATTTATTGCCCACATCTTTGATTCTCCATACTTAGGTTGGATTGCCACATGTGACATCCAGTTGTGTTATATTTTATGTCCAGCATTGCATTAGAATTTATTTAGATCTTCCACATGAATTGTAGAGAGTGTGATTCTTTACAAAACACACAATCACCCACCCTCAATCATCGTGAAATTCTCTTTTAGCCCACCCCTTTTCTCTAAACAAAATAGGCCTGGCCCACCCCATGATTTCCCCCCCACCCCCCCACATAAATAATGACCGGTCCCTAAGGACCATGGTTTGGCCCCGGTGCTTCAGAGACTAACTAAGCAAGTCAAGAATTACAAATGGCATAATTATAAAAGTAAATTATAATTATCACAAACATTATCCCAGAATCCTTCGAGGCAATTTTTTTAAAAAGCTTTATAACTTTGAGAATTTTATACGTAGAAGACTGACAGACCACAACAAGATAATATTTGCCATTTAATATCTTCTCATGTCACATCTAGGGTGATAACGTCATCAGTCACGTGACCATCGCTGAATTAGGCTTTTTTGTTGCTGTGACAAGATTTCATTATTTGGTTAAAATTGAGGTTTGGGCTGTGTGGAGCATTTAAAAATAACCAGTTGACGTCCGACATTTAAAAGGTAAGGGGGGGGGATGAACATGAGCGAAAAAGTCGGGAGACTAGACCGACGGCAGAGAAAATTTGAAAGAAAGAAATGTCTATAATTTTTTTCATGACCAAAAAGGAGACGTGACGTCATCAGTCACGTCATCAAAGCGTTTTGAATGTTTCAGTCCATTTTTGACATTAATTGGCAAGTTTTTGCCGTTTTTCTCAACAATTCTTTACACTGTATTGTCTCTGAGCAATTATTCCATTTTCAAAGCAAAAGCAAACAAAAACTGAGCCAGAAGTTTCAAAGCTGCGTACATTGACCGATATTGCAATTTAAAATCGAAAAGGAGATCTACTCTTGAGACTTTTGTAAAATCCTTTTTCAACTTAACTGTTTGTTTGCCGAAATAAATGTTCAACGTTTGTTAATAAATGAGAACTTTAAAAACTAAAAGGATGTATTTGGCGGCCATATTGCTTTTCTTCATTCCGGTGAGAGAGGTCATTTAGCAGCTCTTCTAACCCTGAAAGCCAAATGGTTTACTACCCTAACCTAAAACAATGGAAATAACGATGAACAATGTTGTGTTAATGTTTTCCCCGACCGATGAAAAGACACCTTAGTACGAGAAGGGAGAGAATCGTAAGGTCATTCGGTTCAGTCGGTAGCCGCGCGATCGCTAGTTCATAAATTTCTTAAACGTTCCCCGGCATGGACCAAGCCTGAAAGAGTATTAATGGGTTTACTTGAGCTTTACGTCTAGTTTCGATCAGTTAAAGATATAATTATACTCGGAAATTAAAAAAAAAAACGAAAACGTCATCCTTGAAAACTGTCAACACCATAGAGACGGAATGCATACCTCTTTTAAACTCAAATTGTCAGTGTTTACCGAGGTGGTCCAGTGGACAGAGGCGTTAACTTTTAGTTCTAACTGATTCTGATGGTCTGGGTTCGGATCCTCTTGAAGAAAATTTTTCGTAACCTTATTTTTTTTCCTTTCCTTTTTTACTCTCTTTTTAACCTGTGTGGTGCATATAGCAAGTAACATTATGTGGTAAATTGAAAACAAAGTTCACAGGAATATAACAAATACCGTATGTATCGTAGCTTTATTCTACCGATACTTTTAGTAATACTGGACACTGTTATCATTACTCAGCTCAATCGTCGAATTTCACCCGTGCCTAATTTAATTCGAGAGGTAACTGCTTTGAGATGGGACGTCTGAATCAACTAAACCGGACAGTTTCAAATTAAATACGACTTTGCCGCATCTGCGACTGAAACAGTCGAAAATTCGACTTAGGTTCAACATTTGATTTAGAAGTCGCATTTCACATGTGACCAATATAATGCATTAATTGTAGAAAACCTTATCCATATTGGATAACAATTTTTTCTAGAGACTGGGAACATTTACAACAAACGGAGTTAAATTCGGCACCATTATATCCGACGTCTGAATCAACTGCGGCATCATTATATCCGACGTCTGAATCAACTGCCGTATTTAATTATTTTCATCGACTAAAACAGGTGTTATATTCCACGATTCAAAGGGGCCTAATATGACATAAGCTTAGTGGTTTGCAGGCTGTTATTAAGTTGTTTTTTTTTCTTTTCAGTAACAGCAATTCCTATCTCTTTGTAATCCATTTTATTAATCGGCTTGTGCCACGACTTAAAAATCAGCTTTAATAGTTGATCTTGCTTTCTCTTTGACATGATTTGTATGTCACTGGACATGATTCGTATATCAAAAAGAACAATCAATTTTCATCCACTCATTTCAATAAAAGCAAATGGCATCACTTCTCAAGGGACAAACTCGAACCGTGCCTTCGTCGTATGAATTTGCGGCACCGAAGAAAGACGAAATTTCAGGTTTTAACTCGAAGCTTTATATAGTGTAAAATCATTATAATTTACTTTTACTGGCATCAGTTCTGGTAGCACAATATCACTTGCGCACAGTCAGGACAAAAAATTTATCCGTTTCTGAAAAGTATTGTTGAAGAGAATAAAACCTTGTATCCCTAAATGGACCTTCTGCATTTTCAATCTCGATGTCAGTCTTCTTTTTGCCCTATAGCCTCTAAGACAAACGAGTGCACGCCTCAATAATGCAAATGAAATTCGGCTTCTGATCCATGACAAAGTATTGGCATATTACTTCCCTTCCTTGATGGCAACTAGCTCCGCTAATCGGCTATGGTACCTCAGGCATTCCGTTTCCATTCTGTCAATTGTTGTAAAGACCAAAGGTGTAAATGTTCCATGCTCCCCAATGTCTAAAACTCTCCTTCAGTGCGGACGCTTTTTCTTGTTCTCATGCATTTGATACATCTGTTGTGGCTCTACGTCCTTACACAATTCAGCATGTAGGCGACAGAACCTAACATCAGTTTGCCCAATGAACCATGTTCTTGTACAGCGGTTGCGGTATTTTGTTTTTATTTTCTCTGTACTGTTTGTTATATGTTTGTGTTTATCAGTTTTTATTAGCCTTTTAGAAGATGAATGCAGGTTTAGCGATATATAAATAAAATATCTTTATCTTTTATCTTTGTCATTTATTTATTAGTGCTCACAGAACCGACGCACATGGATATCCAATCAACCATAGATATCCAGTCATTAATAATAATAAAAATAATAGCAATAATAAAAGCAATAACAAAAATAACAAGGACAACAGCAACGACAACAACAACAACAACAACAATAATAATAATAATAATACAGATTCACATGCCTGTCATTAAGAAACGAAAGTCAACAAAAATCTAAAATGGAAATCCTCATCCTGCAAAAGTAGGAAATTGCGAAGGAACTTCCAATCTACCACAGACACCCAATACCAAATATCAAGCACGAATAATAGTTATAATATATTTTTTAAAATAAATAATAGTAATTCTAATGACAACAATGCTAACTATTAAAATACTATTTACAATTATTTTGCTTAAAAAAACAATTGCGTCAAAACACTATTTGCAAAAAACACTTAGTTTTGATTTGAAAAAATTCATTTAATTAAAAAATTATTTGAATTAAAAACATTTCGCTTCAATTAAAACAATCCATTTCGATTAAAAACTATTTCACTATAATAATAATAATAATAATAATAATAATAATAATAATAATAATAATAATATTACAAATTACAAACTAGCACCCGAAGGTAAATTACATTGGGTTTAAAAAATAAGGTAAATTAAAAAAGTTTACAATTTCATTATCTTATCCTGAGACTGAGTTACAATAATGCCCAAAATATATATGTATGTAAAATAGATACTTTGTTACTACAGTGAAAATTGTAAGGCTGGCTCTGAAAATTGTAAGGCAATAAGCAGTGCAGGCGTGATTCTGGGTGGTCACGGATGTTATGCCACACCCTAAAGCACAGGTCAATGCGTCAAGCATCAAGAGCGACATTATAGTGGTTAATTGGGGAACAGGATATGCAATGCTCTTTTCTGGACTTGCTTGGCACTTAAATAGACAGGTGACACAACACTTCCAGAAATCAGCGTATCAATACAAAGTAGACATTGAGGAAGTAACTAGAGGGGATCCAGGCCCGTTTCAGGACCCTAAGAATATCAAGACACTTTATTGCCTTAGTAACTATTTCCTTGATATTGTTGTTCCACTCAAGGGTGTTACACAACGTAAGCCCAAGTACTGTATTACTTGAGGAGTATCTGCGCCGAGATCTTTCCAGGTATTGAGAGCAAAGAATTACCTCGATAGTTCTTGAGACTGGCACTATATTAGATAGCATCTTTCCTTGTGGTATTACCTCGGTTTCTCTGATCTGTAGAACCAGTTTGTGCAGCCTAGAGGCGAGTTCCATACTGCCATGCTTTCAGATTTCTGCATGTATACCACACCTTCCAGGGGCTTTACCTTCTTTTTTGGCATTGATAGCATTAATAGTTCCTTGAATTAAGGTTTTGCATCAAGACATACAATGTTTGGTTTAAGAAATATCTGGGTATGGCATCCAGAATGCAGTCATAAAAGAAAAGATATGAAAGAAGTACTACAGAACTTAATGCTGCCGAGTGGAAGCCATTAACACCTTGGCTTGTAACATACAGCTTTAGTGGAAAACCACAAGCAAGTGTTCTGTTTGTAGACATGCCGTGGCTAAGAATCAATTAGCGACTACTTGTGATACTTGTTACCAACAGGCTCAGATAAAGTGGGGTGGAATAACTGCGAAACACTACAAACAGCTTCTGTCTTGCTTAAATTACTGCTGCGATTGTCCCACTTGTATAGGAAATTTGTTACAAAAGCTACCTTTCGCGAATGTGGAAGACATAATCGAGCAAGATCCAGCTCATGGCAACCCTCTTCAAAATATGAGCTCTCACGGAAAACCAACTATCAAGCTTCCATGGTAAACCAACAAGAAAAATGCATAATTGCCCTTCTAAATGTAAATAGTCTTCCTAGCAAGTTAATTGAAATCAGAGAATGGTTTGTTGATGGTGTTTTTGCCATTCTCTGCATTGAATTCAAAATTGACACAATTCTCAATTGCATGAGAATGGTTATAATATTTTTAGACTGGTGGTGGCGTCATGATCTTTGTGAGTGATAGCACCACAGCCATCCCCATCAAAATCTTTGTGAGTGATAGCACCACCGCCATCCCCATCAAAATAGTATGTAAATTCGTGGACGCAATACTGCTAGACTTAACTATCTGTCAAACTCGATTCGCACTGATAGCAGCGTACAAGCCCCCTTCTGTGGATAATGTACCATTTACTTCCGACATGTACAGTCTATTGGATAAAGCTTCTTCGCTGTGCGACAACATTATCTGTTTGTGGGATTTGAATTGTGCTATTAGTAATCCTTTGGATAATAATAACCAAGGAAGATGTCTACCGGACATTTGTGACATTTTTTATCTGGATTCTTTAAACAATTCACCCAAAAGAATATCTTCTCAGCGTTCTTCATGCTTAGATGTTATCCTGACGAATGTTCCAGGTTATTTCAGAGAATCGGGAATTTTGGAGGTTAGCCTCAGTGATCATTGCCTAGTTTATATAGTTCTAAATAAGAAATTACCGCAACCTAAAGCCGAAATTATCCGGGGGCTCTCTTTCAAGAACTTTGATGAAGGCTCTTTTTGTAGCGACCTTAGTTTGGTGTACATGTATATTGGGCTTGGGAAAAATTGTTAACTGAAGCTCTGGATGATCATGCTCCAGTGAAATCGAATCGCCAAAGACTATTCGCTCATACAGGGTGTTTCAAAAGTTCGTTCCGATTTTCATTCGCTTACATTTTACTAATTATTAAAAAAGGCCTTTTGTAAAACTTAGTATGTTATTCGTTATTCATCTAACATTGAATAACTAAAGTATTAGTAACCAGAATGTCTTCTTGTATGTTTTCTGACATTTTCTAAGCGGTTAGATCATGATCTAAAGTGTCAAGTCTAGCAGCACTAGTAGAGTGATTCTCTGGTGATCCATGTTAAGCAAGATGTCATTGTGTACCTTAAGGAGGGCCGTCTCGATGCTGTGGCCTGCTCGATAGGCTGACTGGAGCGTTGGGTAAAACTCTGATCGCACTAAATACTCTTGAGTTTGGTTGTACACTGCTCTCGCCAAAGCTCCGAAATAAACTGGAGATTGCTCACAGGTCTAAGATTTGAAAGGGAGGCGCTTTGACAAGGTTTCTTGAGCCGTGGATCAACTAGAGCAGCTTTCCACGCAGCTGGAAAGTGTCCAAGAGTCAAGGAACAATTAACCACAGAAGTGTTTATTGAAGGAGTTCTTCAAGGCTAGCCAGTGAGATAGAAGTTGGCAAAGGATCGAGCATACAGCTTTTCTTAGCTGAAGCCTGAATGAGCTGGTATACATCCTTCTCTGTCAGTTCCTTAAAAACACGTAGTGGTTCGAGATTTGAGCTGAAAACAGGGTCGTCAATCTGGTCACCACATCTGTTCTGGGTAACATCGATACCGTCATTGCGGATATTAAGGATCTTACGATGGAAAAAGGGGGCAATGTCATTTGCCAGAGCTACCTTATCATGACAATTGGGGAAAAACAATTTATCATTTGGCATAAGGAGTGCCTTTATTGCCCTGAAGAGTTTTCGCTGATCACCACCTTGTTCCTTTGCAAAGCCCACGTAAAACAAAAAGCAGCAAACAAAAAGCTTAAATCCTGTGCTCTCCAGGCCAAATCAGAGGGGCTCATTCTAGTGTCACATGACCAAACCATCCCCACTAAAGTATGTCGCATGTGCAACAACTAACAGGAGACTATTGAATGTATTGTCTCACAACTGCCCAGAGGTGGCGAAAACAGAAAACATACACCAGAACTACAATGTTGCAACCTACATACACTGGAAAATCTGCAGGGAGTACAACTTGCACAACGTAGACAAGTGGTACAAACACAACCTAAAAACGGTGGAAGAAAGGAATGCCATCACCATCCTCTATGATATATCAAACCACCTTAGCATTGTCATCAATAATAATCTAAATCAGGATTAAAAAAATACATTCTCACTGATTTGCCTATACCCTCTGATAAAAATACTTTCACCCAGGATCCCGAAAAAGTTATTGAAGGATAAAGACCTTGAATAAAAATCATCAGAATATGGTTGATGGAAACAGAAAAAAATTTCAGTGCGCAAAGGTGCGAAGTGACAAAGAAAGATCTCAAGAAACTCAATAGTAAAATTTCAGGAAATAACAACTCCCAGGAAATCCAAAAAACAACATTGATGGGATTGGCAGATATTCTACGGAAGGTTTTTTCCATAAAGAGACAAACAATAAGAAAACACTAGGTTCATGGTTTGAACCTATGAGGGATTACTAACAGCAGCTCAGGACCCGGCTAGAAGAACAAAAACAATTATCTGGAATATAATCAAAAATGGTGTGGCATTAGCGAAGAGGCAACAGTGGTGCACATAGTTTCTGAATGCAAAAACCTAGCCCAAAAGTATTTTAGGAGATGGATGCATGACAAAGTAGCTCAAGTGATCCCCTAGTGCCTCAGTGAAAAAGTAGGCTTTGGAAGGGAAGAGAAGTGGTAGAAGCACAAACTTGAAAAAGTACTTGAATCAGAGAAAAGCAACTTCCTTGGGATTTCAACGCATTGAGGCACTGGGTATATTGCTGCACACGCTTGAAAAGATTGGAGCACACTGGGGTGAAACAGTAAATATCACACCGAAATCCAGTAAATGCCAAGTAAAACAAAGAAATAAGGGAAAAGAAAAGCAAAAGAAGAGAAAGTAGAGTGAATAAAACGCACAGTCAAAGGGACAGGCTCACTTTTTAACCACATGACCATCTTGAAAGTCTGCTTTCCACTCTTGCGTGAATTTCAGAAGCTGTAAATTTGCATCGGGGAAAAAAGGCAGCAAAGTGCTCGACTCGGGACACCTGTCTGCATTTAACTTTTATTGCCACATTTCTGGAGCCAAAGTGAAAGGAAGAATTCAACAACTTTTTCAGCTCGTTAGACTGAAGCTCACCTCCTCAAAATCGAGCCGTAAGCTGGGCAAAATTATACTTGTTTTTCGCAAAAACCAACAATGTGGAAATTAAGAGGTGCAAATTTTAATTTAGTAAATATGCACAAAATGTATGCGTACTGTAACATCCACAGCAGCAGCATTGCGTTCTTAAAATTACCCTGATATGTGTGGACAGCAAAGCTATCTATCGAGAATTTTCACTATTCTCTCAATAAGTGCTTAAGGCAAATCTTGATTAACATGGACTGGCAGGACTTCATGCAGCGCAATCATACTTCGCCATTTTTAAATCTCGCTTCATCTCTATCATTCTGCAAAAGTTTTAAAACTTTTTTATTTATCAGTCTGAGACCTTGTGGCATTGGGTGATTAAGTCTGTATAACACAATGGTTTCTAAGGTCACGTGTCTGGTCTCTCATAAAGTATATTACCAAGGGTATTTGCTTTACTTACTCCTCATTTTCTTCTCCAGAGCTGCTGTCATCGTCATCACGGCACTTTTGCTTCCAGTTTTTATACCTCTCTATTAATTCTACCAGATACGTATTTTTCTTCGCAGTTTTAATAAATCTATGCTTTAGAAGCTCTTTTGCTGTAGGTCTCTGTGAAAACAAAAGCCTTATGGTTAAAAAACACTAGTAACTGATCACATAATTTACTAGTAACTTTCATCTTAAATTTAATTCAAAAAGTCCCCAACAGTCATTTTTCCACCAAACAGTCTTTTTGTCAATGTGCAATATTTTGGTGCCAAAGTGTTGCTACAGCACAAACCAACACCTAGTGGAAGGCACAGGTTTCGTAATTTAATGCCTTGAATATTTTCTGGCCAATAATTTTTAAAGTCAATATGATTACAGGCTACAACAAAAGTTAACATACAGTTATTCTGAATTTGGAAACCAGTAAAGATCAATTCTAGCAAAATATTACTAAGAACCAAGAACAAGGTTCCATAAATACCTCTTAGATCCATAATTTGCAGTCGTTCATTTCATTTCATCAGTCATTCGTTGATCAATAAAACATTGACTAGACTGCAACTCTGGCATTCAGTTGGCATTCAGAATAAGGGACTAATTTACTCGCTCACAACTTTTCAATAAAATAGGTACGGTTTCACTTCTACAAAAAATTAAACCACAATAAAAAGATAAAACACAAGAGGCCAAGCATCTTGGAGGATTTCCCGCCAGCTAATCAAATGACAAATTTTGACCGGCAAAAACATTAGAGGTGGAGATGAAATTGCTTGAATAAAGTTTTGGTACGTCTAACAGAATGGCGGATTGAGCAGAGCTTTTAGTAAGAATACAATTCTCCCGTGGGGCCATCATTGAACAATTTGTTACACCTTCCCACTCCTAAATAAAATAAATAATTTAAATGAACTTTTTTGCCATCACAAAGGAAAATTTCTGACCCGGAAGAAAAAAAAAAAATGGAAATTAGGTCAACTACATGTCTTTGCATGTTCAATTACAATGTAACTACTGCAGCTGGGGGAGGGTGGCATTAAATTCTCCTGTCCCTAATCTGCTCAGTGCAATGTCATAGCACTATCAGATGGAAGACAGAACAACGATCTTCACCAAATTACAATGTAAAAAGTAGCCCTTGGCAATGAGGTCTTGGCAGAAAACTTAACCAGAGGATATGTAAGTCCTTGAAAGATTTTTTAAAAAGCTTACACAATTCCCTTTTAAGGTCATCACAGAATAATTCCATCAGCCAAGAAAGATCTTTCTGCTTCAGTCTAAACTCAATTGAACACACCTTTATACTTTGTCAAGAGTCAAATGAATAATATTCTCTTCAAGAACTTTACACCGGTTAATGATTATAGCAGAGCTAGTGGAGAACTATGGGTACGAAAAAATGGTAACCTATAGATGCGAGAAATTTTGGCAATCACGTGACCGTCCGTAGGTCCGTCCACCGCTAAATGTATGCCAATGTCAAATGTCACTCTTACCACAAGCACAATACTGGGGCATGGCACTAGCCCATGGACATGGAAAATTACAAAAGTCTGTCAGTTATATACGCCATCCATATGAAGATGAATTGACAGCTGTTAATGCCGAGTCTTTTTTTCGACTAAATTTCCACTGACGTGGATAACAGAAAAAGAGCGAGAGCGAGAGATAAAACACAAGGAGACAAATTTCGTGGGAGGAAAAAACAAAACTTTTTGTAGTGGCGGTGAAAAAATGAGAAATGCTAGCGGCCACCCAGGTGAAAATGAGCGGCAAAAAAGCAGGAAAAGAGAAAAAATCGAACAGGAACACATACGACATTTCCTCCACAAAACGTGTAACTAGGTAGTTTCACGTTGCAGTCGTGCAAAACAACGGCAAAGAAATGCACAAAGAAAGTGTGCTTTTTTTCTTTTTCTGTCTTGCAACAAATAAGGTTGCAAGGTTTTTTTCGTGGGTGGTAAAATGCGCAACATCGCTATTCAACTTGTTTTGCAGCAATGTTGCAAAAGCACTCCGCTCGTAAGCGGAGTGAGACGCACTCTCAAATCAACGACAAATGTTCTTTTACCTCGACTTATTTGAAGCTACTAGTCCAAATTGCTTCATTGCTCTCATTAAAATATTTTTGCCGTCAAAAGTAATCGCCAAAAGCATTTCTTGATTGGCGAAACGGTCACAAAAACAGTCAAAACAACGCTGATCGATTGATGATGTCATTACACTGCGGACAACATCGGATGTATACAAATATAAATGGGCCCACCAAGTTTACAAGGCGCTATAATCCACGCGCGATCCGCGGACGACAAAATTATAAACTCGCTTCGCGGGCGCCACTGCCTTAACTTCGTGAGAATTAACAAGAGCTTCGGTTTTAGTCCTGGCTAAATCTATATATTCATAAGGAAAACATAAAACTCTCAAACAAATTTTATATAACACATTCAAAGACTCCCTTCATAGCATATAATTTCAAATTCACTTCAATGCAACTAATCACAATAAATGCTTGAGTTTGGAGGGATATCAAAAATCTGCAAACCGTTTTTACTTTCCTTGCAATTGAGTTCAATTCCTTTCTCACTTCTTGGTCTCATAAATTTACCAGGAATGAAAGCTCTTCCATGTGATATATTTTGGGTAATTTGTTGTCGGCAAAAATGACTAGCGAGTAGAGGAAAATTCTGGAAATAGGCTCCTCCATTTATAAGCTCCTCCAAATATAGCCCCCCCACCAAAAAAAAAAAAGAGATAAATCAAATTCAATCACACTAATGCGCTTGGAAAAGAACTCTTGACCAGACTAAAGCACCAGAACCCCCATCACCGCCCTTTCAAAAGCTAATTAGAAACTCTTTGGAGGCTGCCAATTTACAGGTTATGAACATTGTTCTTACGTTATGATGTCTAAATCGATTTTTTTGTCTTAAGAGAAGATCTGGATGCAAAATCGGGTAAATTACTGTGTTCACCAAATGTTTTCTTTACAAAATCGGGCCAACAAACCTTTAAGTGTAAACTAGCTGTAAAATCAAACAATTAAGACCGTCTTTGAAAGTGAAAACAGACTCAGTCCGTGCTTCAGTCTTTGTCTAGCTCCATTTCATTTATCCAAATTTAGAGTACCTTAACTCTTTTTGAACTCACATTTATTTATTTCCAGTCCTTGGTAATGGCGTCAACAGTTCATCGAAACGAAGGAACATTATTTATTTAGTTTTTGTAATGTAATACTTATTCTAAAACGGTGAACTTGTTTTAACAAAGGTATAAGTCTGTTGGTAACAAACAACAACTGTTTCATGTACTTTCTTTTTGGTGAGGAGAAAGAATGTGTAAATAGACACAAATAACACACCATGCATCCATAAAGCAATTTTGATTTCATTCTTGTACAGGTTTGACCCACACTTTACGAAAAAAGCGACATAACGCAAAATTAGACCCTGTTTACATGGAGTGGTGGACCCTAGTCTAGTGGGGTAGGTTTCTTTTGTTTTGTGTCCCCCAGAGCGTGAAAACAAAAGAAACAAACCCCACTAGACCGGGGTCCCCCACTCCATATAAACAGGCCCTTAATTTCAGTTTTTTTAATGTAAACACATTTATTGGTCCAATTATAACAAATAAATAGAAACAAGACAAATACTAGCATGAAAGAGACCAATGGGGAATAGCGCGAACCCATGCGGGGCGCAACCCCAAGCTAAGTAAAACCTACAAAAACATTCTCTTAAAACGGTTGTTAAAATGTAATAGTTGAGCTGTGGAATCTAATAAAAACGTGCAAAAGACAGTAATTAAAATGCAAATTATGAATGGTGGCACGGGCAATTGCGAGAGAGGAACCAGGTGCAGGGCATGTCAAAAGTAGTATCTAACAAGGAAAAGGAAGTAGCACGCAGATAATATCTTAAAAATGCTTAGGCTGCAGAATTTGTCGGAAGTAGCCAGCGAATGGCAGAAGTTTCTCCTCGCTCATCGCCGCTGAGAAACGTCTGCCGTTCGCAGGCTATGTCGGAAGTAGCTAGTTTGCAAATAGCGTTCCACGGTTTTACAATCCGAGTAAAAAAAGACGCCTGAAAAGTAGTGGTTTTACAGTAGGCACGTTTAAACATTAGGGCAGGATTCTGAGAACGAGACTGGTCATGCGGGACAAAGGTAACGAATCGATCAATATTTAAGTCAGTAAATTCAGAAATGCAATTAAAAAAGAAAACAAGATCTCCAATTTCCCTATCTTAAGTCAGTGGAAGTAGTCGAAGCGTCAGCAATCGTTGTTTGTAGGAGACCTCGCCGATTTTAGTTCTGAGTATCCAGCGAGTTGCACACCTCTGGACTCTTTCTAGGATCGATGTCAATTTGACACTTCCGGGAGACCACAATCTGTGGCATAAGAGAGTTGTGACTTCACTAGAGAGAGATAAAGTGTCCGCCTGACTTCAACATCCGTAATAAGTGGACAGGTTCTCTTCAGGAGACCTACCATTCTGTTAGTCTTGAGTACAATATGCATAACATGCGAGTCCCAGGATAAACTGCTTGAGATGATAAGCCTTATTAAGCCCGAGGTCCTTTTCTTCCAAAAGACGTTTTATATAAGTATTGGCAAGGTGATATTCATGCGTTAAAGGTGAATTCTTCCGAGTGACTGTTAACACTTTACACTCAGAGGCACTAAACTTCATGTTTGATACACAGATCCAGGTGTTTAACATTCTTGACTGACAAACAAAAAAGGAATTAAAGTAAAGTACAATAAAGCACTCTTTATCCAACATAGCAAGTAGTGTGAATGAAATGTTCCTGAAATCCTTTTAAATCATTTTTTTCGTTGTTTCTAGCCGACTTCATGTTTGGAATGACAAATACTAGACGAATGCATCTCGAAGCAAGACTTTCGCTTACAACAAATACTGCGTATCCTTTAAAACTTGTTCCTTCCATTTGCAACTAGAAAAATGTTTATAAGCTTATTATTTCGAACCAGATAAAAGACGGACTCTTAATCTACATAGTCAAACAAGACAGAAATACGTTGTCGAAATGCAAGTCACCGTCAACAACAGTCCTATTCTGGACTTCTCTCATCTGAATGATCATATTCAAACTACTTATGAAATAACCTCTGGGTTCAACCCTTTCACAAGACAGAAATAATGCAATAGGTGTAGTTTTTAAGCTCATCTGAGATGCAGCTCCTGAAAGCTGGTAAGTGTGGTCAGAAATACTCTGCTCGAAAGCAAGCATGAAGTTTTAAACATGCAGCCATGAATTAGTCCCGATGCGACGTTTTCCTCAGATCAATACCAAATAAAAACAGGCGTTTAATAATAAAGGGATCTTAATAGTAGCTGTCATTTTGAGGTGGCAGTAGAAGAAAAGGAAAAGATAAAATCTTAAAATGACAAAAGGCTACAGTTGTTTTGCGCATTAATGTCATAAATCCTAGGGTGTGACCAAAAGCATAACCTTAAAAATTTATTTTGGAACGTTTTTTCAGTAAATCAAACAAAATTAGAAATGACAAGAATATTTTTACTTACGTACACTGACGTCATAACATATTTTTCTCTCATAGATAGGTTTCCAACTTCTATAGCAATAGACGCTCCGCTGCACATGCACAGTGCATGTAAGCTCCGCCATAACCTCAGAAGAGCTTGAAAGGCAAATTTTCCTCCTACAATAAGCCCCTCAGAAATATCGAGCCCACAAAAAAAGCCTTTTAAACATGTACACCCTGGGTTTTTCAGAATTTTATGGTACTTGCAAGTTCTTGAAATACGTTTACAAGCACTTAACTGTTGTATGACTTACATCATTAGGGTCTTTATTGAGACACATGGCCACAAATTCCTTGAAGGCCTTGCTGAAATTTCCATTCAATTCAGGTGGGTTGTTCTTGGGAATTAAAAACAAGACTCTCATAGGATGGAGATCTGAATTCGGTGGCTCGCCTTTAGCTAGTTCAATTGCTGTTATTCCCAGAGACCAAATATCTGCCTATGTAAGAGGAAACATCATTATAAATGTACTTCTACAACCTCTTCTAAAGGCAAAGAGTTTTTTGAGTGTCACATACTGCCCCTCAATTTATAGTATAAACAGGGGTCTTTATATATTTAAAGCCTTTGACAAAATGGCCACATAGAACACGAAGTAACTGTGGTCACAGTTTAATACAACTGTGTTCATGACCTTGAAAGGGTAACAAATACGGGCATTGTCAGTGTTGTAGAGATAATTTACAAAGGACTGGGACTGTACTTCTAAATCTTTCGAAGACCCTCAACACAATCTACCATGACCTTCTGTAGGCACAGTTGGACTGTATTGCTACTAGTATGCCAACCATCCTGTGGTTTATATCTCCCCTCGGCAATCATTTCCAGCTATTAAACCACTGTTGGAAATGTGCAATTCACCTTGTTGCCAGTCCAAGTCAGATTTCCAGCGGGGGGAGCATTCTTAGCCCTCTGTTGTTTTTGGTCTACATATAACAACTTCTTAAATGCAGTGAACATTGTTAAGTAGCCTTACAAGCGAATGAATTGCTTTATCAGGAACATTTCTACGTCTCGGCATTAATCTACTCATAGACAATACAACAGATGAAAGTACCCGCAAATCGTTCAATTTTCATTACCATCCAACACTTCAATCACCAGTAAAGCCAACCAAACTCAAATAATTTTGACTAAATAGCAGAGGCTCTTTTCATCCTTCAATTCTAAAATGAGAATTCTTTGGGCTAGTTAAGGAAAGTAATTGATGATGGGGAAGCCTCAAAGTTAAATGGTAGAGGACATAAAGATAAGTGGCGCTGTCCTCTTCTGGGAGTGTCTGTAGCAAGAACGTTTCTCTATCCTTAGTTCTCACTGGTTGGATTCAACGAAAATCCCCAAATAATGGTTTAGTCTTGTTAAAAAATACCCTACATGTACTTCTCTATACAAAATGTAAGCATGTGTTTTGGCTCTCAAAATCTAGATGTTAATGATCAAAACCTAGAAAAAAAGTTAAACTTTTCTACTACCAATTACCAAACAGCAATTACGAGTTATGGTCCTTTGAGAGACTCCCTTGAAGAGAAAGATGACAGAGGTTGCTTATTTCCGTTTTGGCTGGGATTTGACACTGAGAAATGCTCCTTAATTGGTTAGGACCAACTCATAAACTGCATAGTCTTAAAGTAGTTAGGATATGAAACTTACCTTGGAGTCATATGCAGATTGTTTGATCACTTCTGGAGCCATCCAAAAAGGTGTTCCTACAAATGTATTTCTTTTATTTAGTGTGTCAGTAAGCTGCCCTGCAACTCCAAAGTCTGCAAGCTTCACATCACCACTTTCTGACATCAACACATTGGCAGCTAAAAACAACACAAGAACAAACGCTGCACATTTTAATCAAGAAAATTATCACAGGGATATTTCTCGACAGGATTGGTCTTGTACCAGTGATGACCCGAACGTTTTGTGGGCTGACTGGAAAGCTAAATTTTTTACTATTGTGAACAGTCATGCTCCAATCAAAACAAAACATGTTAGGTCAGGCAAGGTACTGTGCAGTACCTTGGATCACATCAGACCTGCGGAAAGGTATGCGTGATCGCGATGTTGCTAAACGGAAAGCTATTACGTCAAACGATCCTCAAGAGTGGGCTGTGTACTAAAGGCTACGTGATAAGATCAATGAAGAAGTTAAATCTACATGTACCAAGGCATCCTATTATGCTAATGCGTTTATTCAGTCTAATAGGGACTCACGTAAAACCTGCCAAATGATTAACAAACTCACGTCCCATCCGAAAAATAACGCGTCTGTGAAAGAATTAAAACTAACGAGAACTCTGCAACCAATTCTCACGAGCTTTCCAATGCATTTAATGACCACTTGATCACTGTAATTCCTTATTACATGGCCTTCCTAAGTATCTGTTAGCTAGACTACAGGCAGTTCAGAATGCTGCAGCTCGTGTTGTCACATTGACACCGAGGCATGTTCATATAACTCCTATTTTAATTAATCTTCATTGGTTACCAGTTGAGTTTAGAATAACTTTTAAAGTCCTTTTATTGGTATACAAGGCCCTTCATGGCCTTGCACCTTCTTATATTTCTGACCTTTTGAATTTTAAAACATACTCTAGGTCATTGCGTTCTTCATGTAAAGAATACTTAGTGGTTCCAAGAAGCAGATTGAAAACATATGGAGACAGAGCTTTCTCTATTGCAGGACCTAAATTGTGGAACAATTTACCTCTAGTAAAACTTTTTATTTAAGTTAGCATATAGGTTATGAGATTCCTTTTGTTTTGAGATGTTTTTGATTTATATAGTAGATAACTTAGGCTATATTTGAATTATATTGTATATTGTAGATATTTTATATTTTAGATTTTTTATATTTTATTTTGTAATTAGGTAGCGCTTTGGACAATTATTGGATTTTAGCGCTATATAAATAAAATTATTATTATTATTATTATTACTTTTCAACAATTGGAACCAAACTTGCTAATGAGGTACCCCTTGTTACTGACGGTTCAAGTTATGCCGTTTGCATTGTTAGCAGCAACAACAAGTTCATATTCAGTCCAATCACAGGTAACCCAGGCTCTGTGATAGTACCACAGTACGGTTCCAGTAAAATTACAGTGTTTGTATGGGGTAAAAATATCATCCTAAAATTTCTAGGAAATGCTAAATAAAGATCAATGAAACTTACTCTGCAGTTAATTGTTGTTTTCCTTATTGCTCCAACGAAGTTTCGTGATAATTTGCAGTAATTTGTTCAAATTCACTCTATCTACAATAATAATATACAAGATAGGAAACACGAGGTGCCATTTTCGCCGACATTCATTCAACACAACTTTTCCACGAAATTCGAACTCCAACGGAAAATAAACACGCCAGGATGGTAGAAATAGGATAGCAGCAGATATAGAAACCAATGAAGCTTTCCCAGATAGAGAAACGAATCCCACAGACTTGGACAAACTCGAAGAATATTTGAGAGAAATACGCTCGCCGAAGCAGCCGGGCCAGATCAACGCGCGGCCAAGAAAATGAAGCCTGAGCACCCGAAAAAAAAAATTCCATCCTGGGGGTCCTGGGGTGACCTTTCTAGGGACCGATACATCATTTGCCCAAGGTCACCCTCCCCTGCTGAAAAAAAACTTGATAGAAGGCAATTGTTCTTCCTAGCCAATCACTATGGCCTGTTATAAAGAGATTATTTTCCTCTTGAACTATATTCAGCTCCTGGCGCTGGTCCTCAGAAAGTTTATCAAACATCAATAGGGCAAGGTTATAAGGGCAAAAGAAAGAACCACGAAGGACGATTTACAAAACTTAAAAGGACCAAAACATATAAGGGAATTTTGGCTCTTACCGAGGCATTTGTACAACAGGACCAAATTCAAAGAGAGGTGTATCACGATGAAATATTTAACCGATAGAGCGTTCACTTGTATTGACAAGAAGTCGGCGTGTTACTGCCGCATTAATGAAATATGTTTTAGTTCTTTGTTTACTAGTTTTCAATTCGTCTCAGTCTCGCAAATATTCTGTCGCAATTTTCTGTATAATTTTTGACATTAGTTTGTAAACCGTTTATTTACGATAGTTTCGCTCGAGAGTTCACAGCAACAGTATCTCAGTCATCATCTACCTTTTGTTCAACCTTGTTTTTAGCCCGCCTTGTAAGCATTTCGCGTTGTTATTTCATTAGTTTCATTACTGTTATTTGCATTCCTTAGTAAAAGAAATGGGTCGGGGAAATGGGACACCTTGTAAATCCGCAGACTCTCCTGATTATATTACTTTTTTTTAGCCATTTAAATTCAGGCGCGTGTGCGGGGTTTGCTCTGGCAAATGGTGATTGGCTAGGAAGAACAATTGCCTTCCATCAAGTATTTTTCCAGCAGGGGAGGGTGGCTTTGGGCAAATGATGTATCGGTCCCTAGAAAGGTCACTCCTTGGACTCCCGGGATGGAATTTTTTTGTACAGTGCCCAGGCTTCATTTTCTTGGCCGCGCGTTGATCTGGCCCGGCTGCTTCGGCGAGCGTATTCTCGGTGTGTTTGGATTATATTCTTCGAGTTTGTCCAAGTCTGTGGGATTCGTTTCTCTATCTGGGAAAGCTTCATTGGTTTCTATATCTGCTGCTATCCTATTTCTACGATCCTGGCGTGTTTATTTTCCGTTGGAGTTCGAATTTCGTGGAAAAAGTTGTGTTGAATGAGAGCATGTCGGCGAAAATGGCACCTCGTGTTTCCTACCTTGTATATTATTATTGTAGATAGAGTGAATTTGAACAAATTACTGCAAATTATCACGAAACTTCGTTGGAGCAATAAGGACAACAACAATTAACTGCAGAGTAAGTTTCATTGATCTTTATTTAGTATTTCCTAGAAATTTTAGGATGATATTTTTACCCCATACAAACACTGTAATTTTACTGGAACCGTACTGTGGTACTATCACAGAGCCTGGGTTACCTGTGGTCCAATTAGTAGTAGCAATGTTTTTTCTCTCCTAAATAAATTATCTAAATCCAAAGCAACAGGTCTCAATAATATTTCAGGCAAACTTATTCGGGAATCTGCGGATCTTATCTCGATCCCTTTATGTAATATTTTCAACAAGTCTTTAAGTTCTGGTTTATTTCCAGATGAATGGTTCTCTGCTATGTCACTGCGTTCCGCCGCAGAGAAAACGTTTAAGTTCTAATCAGCAGAAAGGCAACAACACGTTGAAATAGGAAGGACACGACCAGTTGTGTTTATTGGGGACGAGAAAAAGCTAACGTACAAGAAATAAAGTAGTGGCGGAGAAAAACGAATTACATCACTGTAAACTACGAGACTAAACGTAAACATGATACTAGAAAAATTAAGCTCGGCAAGGTGCGAGCGGTAAAACTGGTTGTGTCGAGTGACTAACGCGAGAGGCGACAAGGCTTAAATACCGAGATGTGACGTAAAATCCCTAGAGGATCAAACTGCGGCCATAAATGCAAATTCCGAACATAAACACATAAATGCGCTAGAATGACTCCATTGTTTAAACAAGGTAAGCGAACTGATGTGAATAATAATCGGCCAATCTCAGTTATCTCAGTAATAGCTGCTTCGTTTTAAGCAATTGTTAAACCTTCACTCTAGTTAATTAAGTTAGATACACGGCATTCATGGAAAACAGGTCTAGTTTAGTGTAATTATAAGTAGTATTTTTACTGAAGAGACTCTTTAGATATGTATATACAGTCGAACCCCGCTATTTCGAACTCGGTTAATTCGAAGTCCCCGCTATTTCGAAGGAAGATCGAATTCCCTTGGATTTACCCTTCCCGTTTACGCTTCCCCGGTTATTTCGAAACCCCGCTAAATCGACCTTTTTTCCATTTCCCTTGGGATTTCGAAATAGCGGGGTTCGACTGTATTGTTATTAAATATTGTTATGTAGTTGGTATATTATATTGTACCAAAAAACCTGAAGAATTTTTACCGTGTTAAAATAACGATTTGAGATTTGAGAAGCAACTTACAAAATTGCCCCCCAAAAAACTGCTTGAACTTGGCAATTTTGCCTTCACTACACAACTGACCACATGAACAATACTAAAGGCATGGGCATGTCAGTCAGCCAGGCCCATGATAAACATTATTAACTCGCATAAATAATGATCATCAAATATAAGAACACCACAGCTGGACAAGTAAATCCAAACAATCATTGGAAAAATAGGCACCATGTACCCGCAACTTATCTGACCGCTTCCCCTTAAGGGTTATAAGGCCAATCTAAGAAATACAGGCATACATATACTGTATAACCATCAAAACTGTCAGTGTTCTCCTTATCAAACGGTTTTGTAAAGCAGGTGAAGGGACCTTACCGCCATAAGGCTTGAAGGCAAAAAAACAAAAAATTAAATAACTTGTTTTCAAAAACTTTCCTGGGGAGGGAGGTTGTGGATGGGGACATGGATCAAGGTAATGAACGAAATTTGGAAGCTAATTCTAAAGTATAAATGTCTTTCCCTAGAGCATTTAAGACCTATTTTATATTATTGGAATCAAACGTTTTTTTTTGGACTAAACTAAAAACGTTTGATTTCCAATAAAACAGGTCTTAAATGGGAAAAATTTGTGAGACTTTAGTATAAATTTCATATAGCAAGTTCATTACCATGTCCCCAGATCCAGATCCTTCCCCAGGTATTTTTGAAAACAAGTTATTTTGTTTTTTTTAGTACCTTACCGCGGTTATGAACGGTAAGAAGTGTTGCTTGAACGGTAAAAGTTTACCGGGAGAACAGGAGTGTGACACATGCTTAGAAAATGATGAAATCCTATCCTGTGGTCAGACATGATGACTGGACAGATCAAAATAATACCACTAACTATCAGTTTGAAAATAAAATGACAAAGTACTTACGGAAACTTAAGGCCAAGAGAATGTATTTCATTAAAAAAAGGAAGGACTGAGGTAGTATTATTCACTTTTGTCTTTTTGTCAAAATGGTCTACTGAATTTTCCTACAAACGGCAGACGTTTCTCCTCACTCATCGCGTACCTCAATGGCGATGAGCGAGGAGAAACGTCTGCCGTTCGCAGGCTACACTTTAATCAAAACTAAACGTAACTGGTTACACAAGCTGTCTAAATGAAGCATTCACGCCACTAACCTTTAATGTCCCTATGAAGCTTTTTTTCACAGTGAAGATAATCCAAGCCCTTAAGGATCTCCCGAATAATAGTTGCAATGTAGAACTCTTCAAATGCACCAGCCTTCATCTAAAAAGAACGGGAAATCTATTGTTCAAACGTTGGATGATGCTATCCCCGGGGTAAATCACTGTCCAGTGGATAGACTTTTATCCAGTGCAGGGTGTCAAGTGGCAAATGACCCTCAGAAAATAGGAAAATAAAAAAACACGTTCGTAAAAAAATAGGAACTTTTATTCCAAAACTCAACTCAGTGATTTGTTTGACAGAAAGATACAATGGTGACAATGGCGTACATTCTTAATGTTATTCTCACTGAAATGTCAATGCTGCTCTGTAAGCAAAGCAGAACTATCCTTAAAACCAAAAAACAAACAACCAAAATGGCGACAAACTTGTTGAGACATTGTATTCAAATAGGGTAACTTCAGAGAACAAAAGAATCAACACCTCTTCCCTGTCCCCTCCATTCAAAGTTGGGGTGTTTGTTGTTTTCTATAGGTAGCTCAAACAGCAGCACAACATTGCATGGAAAGAATGGGGGAGAAAAGCTATATTTCTCCCTTTCGAAGTTACTAAAACTTAAAAAAGCCCAGTTTATATAGGGTGAAGTGTGTCAACCCATTTTGTCGCCAATTCTCACAATCAAAATCTATATGTTGTTGTCCTATTAGCACAGGTTAAGAGATGATAACTAGTTGAGATTACTATATTCAACAGGTCGTTTTTAACAAGATAGATAAGATAACCATATAATTGCGTTGCTGTATTTTTCGGGGGAAATTAGTTTTGCCAATCTTTTTACTCGGTAGTGTTTTCCAGTAATTACGCAGCATACCCACGTACCAAATGATTGACTTCCTCTGGTATCTAAGTGTGGTTGTCAGGAATCCGGATGACAGATAATATAATTATTGTTTATGAATATCTCCCTAGTAAGTTGAAGAGTTTATTCAAAGTTTGGCTATCCAATAAGGGTGTGAGCGATGATAAAATAGCCATGATTGCTATGCGCTGGAGAATTTTCAGGAAAAATGTTCCGACTTCTAACGCGCAGCAACATCGCAGCATCGCGACATCTGCACAGTAGATTAGTTACCCATATACTTACTGTTGAAGAGTCTTCGAAGAATGTACTTTACAGTAGAAACTATGAGGTTGGGAGGAGACTGGCCATGAGTAACCACGAGTAACCAACTTTGGTCTTAAAGATAATCTAATTATTTTATTTTATACTCATCCTGGTTACTCGTTGAAATTCCTATTAAACATCAAAGAAAATTGAGTAATTTTAATTTTCAGTGGACAAAAAACTTGTACCAGAATAACTTTAAAAATATCGCATTCTTTTTACATTTTTCAAGGGCTATAGGTGTAATTAGTTAACTGTAAGAACACCAAAGACTATTTTTCATGGGAGCCTGAGAAAAGAAAAGTCAAATTTCACAAAATGACATCTTACACATGAAATTTTCAGAATTTTATCTGTGTTTCCACAATTCTTACAAAATTTGACATTTATTTTCTCCAGTTCCCATGAGAAATGTTCGTTGGTGTTATTACAGATAACTAATTATCTGTAGCACTTGAAAAATGTAAAAAAGAAGGCGATATTGTTTAGATTATTTTGGTACAAGGTTTTTGTCCACTGAAAATTGAAATTACTCAATGTCCTGATGGAGTCCATGTTAACTTTCTTAAGGATGTATGGCCATTTTTGCGATTGAGACATTGTACTCAAATAGGGTAGCTTCAGAGAACAAAAAACAGCGGTACAATATTGCACAGAGGGGATGGGGGAGGAAAAGCTATATTTTCTCCTTTTGAAGTCAGTAAAAGCTAAAAAAGCCCAGTTTAGGGCGAAGTGTCTCAACCCATTTTGTCGCCGATTGCTGAGCTTCCCAAGATGACTTTCATTAACGCATTAAAGGTAAAAAAGTTCTTAACAAACAATACCAAAGTTCACTGGCACCAAATGCAAAATAGAGGCAATAAAAGTAATGTACAACAAGAACGCTCTTACAGCTCCGTTCAGTCTCGCTTACTTGGAGATTAGATCGAGAAATGAGGAGGCGATTAATTCTACACGAAACAGGACTTACTCACTAAAGGTTTTTCACTTCCCCCTTTATCGTCGTCGATATCGCGGTCGCAGGCTATACACGTGTATAAATACGCAAAATTTCAAAGGGCCTCGATTCCCCAGAAATTACATCATTGCCAGAGATCCACAAAGTGATTCACATGGCACGTCATTTCAATCATCGCCAAAAATAAACCGCATGCTCATCACAAGACCCATTTGAACACAATAAAAGTTTAAAACACCAAACCATCGCAGTTTTGCTAATTGAGATTCTTATTTTTTTTTTAACCACTAAGTAGTGTTCACTTGTTCGAAAGTAATCAACGCTTTGAGGCGATAGAATTCGTGGACCGACATTTTTCGGAAAAGCTCTAAATTTAATCTTTCCTAAGCTTTCTTTGCAAAACATGCATGGCTTCAACCACGCAATGAAAATTATTCCCTGTTTCCAAGGTCTCCGCCAGGAACACCTGGCACAATGACCCCCCTTTTGTGTCCTAAATACGAAGAAAAACGCGTTGCCGATTATGAGTCTCGCTGCTTACACAAGGGAGACTAATAATTTGTTGGGAACAAGTTCACAGTCCGAATATCATTCAAACTGACTTAAAATTTTCACTTTGTTAAGCGTCTAGATCTATTACTGGATAGGTGCTATATAAATATTCTTCTTCTTATTATTATTATTATTTTGTACCATTAAAAAACGTCGTTTGGAGTTTGCATGTACAAAAAAAAAATTGAAAGGGTATGTCCAGAAACAAACAACAAAAATGGCAAGTTTGGCAAAATTCACAAAAGGCTTGGTGAAGATTCAAAGATATCCAAAGGGACCCCTTTGCCATCTTATTTGAATGTAGTCAAGGCTAAAGACAAATTTTCGCCATATTTCCCATTTTCACCAATCGGTCAAAATTGCCACTTTCAAAGGGCCCCTTTGCCATGTCCATGGTTCATACAACTTCTGACAAACAAATTTCAAGGACTTTTCAAGGATTTTTCGAGGACAAAATAATTACAGTTTTCAAGGACTAAGATTTATGTAATAAAATGGCATTCTTTAACCCCTACACATTGCAAATGTCAATCTCTCACGCAGCTTAACTCGTGTAGCTCACAATATTTTCAGCCCAAAAAATTACTTAAAATTACTATTAGTTTTTCTAAATGCCATTTGTTGGAAATTTACAAGATTTTTGCAAAAATGCCATGAAAAACTGCAGTTTGGTACTTGTGCTTTGTCACAACGGCAAAATACCAATTCTCACGTTGCGATGTGATGGCAACAGCAGATGTTTTTCCCACCAGACATGTGAATTTGGTCATTTGGGTTTAGCCTGAGGGCTTTCACATTGCCGCTGCCAGTTCTCGTTGTCACTGCTCTGAGTCCATAATGTAGCCAGAGAGTGATGAGAAAACAGCTCAACCAAATTCAAAACACATTTTTCTGCAAAATTATCGGGGGCAAATGAGATACACTTTTGACTTTCCTGACATCAATCTACAGCTGCAAAAGTTAGTAAAACTTACTTACCAAATCTAAGGCTGATCCTCCACCAAGATATTCCATTATTATCCACAGTTTTGTTCCCTTAGAGAAATACACAAATTAATTAGCATTCCTGCTAACATCACACTCAGTCTTGAGCATGACCCATTGGTAAAGCTTTTTCCTGTGTGGTCCTTTCAGCAACCAAATAACAAAAGTCCACTAAGGACCTTTACAACGTTTACACTGAAAATAAAAACACAATTTATAGCTCACACGATAGACATAAAACATACATACAAAAATACATGTATGAAATAGATTTTTCGAAATTGAAGAACAATAATCTCATACTTGTTCCAGGGTAAGGTTGGATTTCCACTGACATTGCATAATACCATAAAATTCCGAAAATAAGCCCCGGGGCTTATATTTTTCAAAGGCCCTTTTTGAGGGGCTTATATTCGGAGGGGCTTATCTACGGCGGGAAATTTGCGTTTCAAACTCGATAGGGCTAGCCTTATAGTTGGAAGTAAATTTACCATTTTTTTTTTGTTTTACGTTGTATTTGAGGGCAATTTTCCAAGTACAAGCCCCTGGGGGGCTTATATTTGGAGGGGCGATTTAACGGAGAGTTTTTTGCGTTACCGGTTTCGGGGGCTTATATTTGGAGGGGCTTATTTTCAGAATTTTCCAGTATTTATGTGCCTATGCACTTAAAATTAACGTACACAGATAAAAATACAAGCAATGCATGAAAAGAATGTAAAAGTTTACGTGCAACCTTTTATACATTGCCTCTATTTTATTTATGGGGGTAAAAATTCTGCAAACATCATCTCTTGAGTTATATGCACATTAGTATGTTTTTATACCAAGGATTTTGTCTTGTCATACTATGCTTGTCCGGTTCATTCACTAAGCTTGTAGTTCAGTTGCATACAGTACCCTTCTAACTAGAGAGCTATTGAGCTGTTGCCACACTGCAAGCAGTTTTTAATTTTACTTTTGAGACTAATCTGGGATCTTTGAACAGGCAAATTGCCACTTTTCAGGTCTCCTTGATTAACAGCTCCTCACACTCTGCAAATGACACCATTTCATTTCAAATCATTTTCTTGTGCTTATTTCTGAAAAGAAACAGCGTGTCTGTTTGCTGCTGTTTGGTTTTGGAACTTTGTAACTACTGTTAAATGTCAGGTGTAGCAACAAAAGAATTGCGATGAATCCCAAAACTGCGAATAGAGGCAGCTCCACCTCTTATCCGTAATCACCAAATCAAGCCCAGCAAACAAAATTGGTTAAAGAAATAGATGTCTCATATCAGAAAACCTTGACAGTGAAGGGAGAAAAAAAATGGGTACTCTTTCTTACCCTTCATGCCATGCCTCTTTTGACTTCAAACTACCAAAAACAATGCTTAAGTTCTGGTCAAAACAAGGGCACAGTAGTCTAAGGTCTAAACATTACCTTGAGATAGGAGCCATGATACTTCGTGACATAAGCACTATCACATTGTGATAGCACTGTAATCTCTTGTTGAATGTCTTCAATTTCATCTTCAGCCTCTTCTAAATCAATAATTTTTATTGCTACCACTGTATTGGTCCTATTGTCTATGCTGTTTTAAAAAAAAAATTATCATTAGTCTTTCTTGCTGTACAAACACAAAGTAGGGAAATACAGAAGATTATCATATGACTCATATGGCTAGCCTGTTCCAAGCTCTGAGTTAGTCGGGTCCGCAGGGATTGAAAAAGCACGACCAGGAAAATAAAACGGGAGGAAACCAGGGAAAGGAAGGGCAGCGGAGCCTGTAATCATTTCTTTAAATAGCTTGTCCCGGTGTACCAGCTCCTGGTATACCCTCTGTTTGGTCAAATTTGACAGGTTATATTAACACTTCTCAATGGGAGTCATTTCGATTCTTTCACTCAGAAAGATGGCGTGCAGTGTCCACCCATAAGAAATAGAGGAATCCATGATAACTCTTACGTTCAAATTGTATTTATGAGATTTCCCGCACATAGGAGTGTTGAGGAAAGAACAGAAGACCTGCCTTGTGAACTTGGCGCATGGAAAAGATGTTTTTGCAATCCTGCTGATATTGATATTTTATTCAGCTGTATTCATGTTTGGAAACACCCACATTATCTTTAGAAAAACAAGCTGGAGTTTACAAATCATTGCTAAAGAGCAATCATGACTGAGTCACTACACAATTCGCCATAGTTGATGTACCGGTAGCTTCAGTTTAAGCTGCAATCCATTCATTGAAATTTAGATCTGTAATGACTATCCATGAGAATTTTAAAACATCCTGTAAAAAACACTAACGTGCTGGGCCCAGCGTGACAAAACATTGCAGGAAACCATCACATTCACAAACAAAAGAAAATCGCCTACAGTTATTCAGATACAGGAGGCACTTTAGAAAAAATTAAACAAACTAAAGCCCTAATTTAGCCGCAATGAACAACTTCACATTTCAAAAGAGGTCAAAGAAAATGCTCTTGCATCAGAGGGCAATTTCTGCTGACAGGAAACAATAACCGCAACAAATCATGATGTGTGTCATGACCTCTCCGCATAAAACAAGCAGCAAAAATCACATTTGCTCAGTTAAAAGGCAGAACCCTCCAGAGCACAATCTACTGGCCAAAGAAAACATTCACTGGAACAGGCACCACTTGGAACAAGGTAATAGTCGTGTGTTGCCTAGCAACCCCCTTTTTACAATCTGAAGGGATGAGCCCCACCTGAAATACTCGCATTAGAAATTTGAGAAAGAATCCAATTCACTGACATTTCAAATGTTTAACAGCAGAAATCTCAAACATGCCAAAAGCGGGCGGCAGTCAGAGGATCGTAAAAGAAATGATTATGGGCTCTCTCTTCCTTTCTTTTTCCTTTTTCCCGCCTCGCCCCCCTTTTAGCATACCTTTCACTTTTGCATCTTCCGCACTATCTGAGAGCCTGGAACAGGCTACTGTATGGCCCCATGCGCAATTTTGTTGGAAAAACATGAAAAAACATCCCGTATGAGGGCCATTTTCGTCAGGTCAGTAGGGCCAAGAAAATACATACAGCACTGCTAGGAAATGCGTGCCAAACAAGGCAAATGCTGCTATGACGGTCATTACGATGAAATGCCTATTGACCGAGTTAGGTCCGGCCAAATGAGAAAATTTTCGCCCTTCGTCAGGGCACAAGGACCTGGAGCCAAATACTTTCCTGTCCAGCCCTCTCACTAAGTCAGTATATATTTCCTTACTCATTGAGAGAGGACTAATCAAGGCAAGGGAAGAAGAAAAACCAGTGGTGGGGGGAATGGACAGAGATGCTCAATGGAAAATAAGAATTGAACCCCTAAAAAAGAGCAGCCTGGGCATAGCTCATGCTCTATTTGACTCCTAAAAGAGACAATACCAGAACAACCAACCAAATAAAGGGCTTCATGTACACTTGAGCAGGGTTTGCAAATGTTATTGATGAGTGGAGTCAGTGTGACTTCTGCTTCACAAAGTTTGGAGCCATTTTGGAATATTTAGAGTCAAGTATCACAATGGAAAAAGCCATTTTCATACTTTCCAGCACGTGGCCCTGGCATGTATACACTATCGTGAGGGATAGACAAAGTAGCTGTGGTGGTCCGCTGACCTGGAAAGCTCTAATCCATGATGGTGGTCATCGAGTAAACTTTGATTGTAATTTACCCTCTTCCTGTTTTGTCGTGCAGTATAATTCCTTAATTTTGATGATTTAATAAGGATTTACAACGTTTACAATTATTAATGTAAATTGTATTTGTTGCGAAAAAGGTAAGGACAAAACTGTGTTTGTAACCGAAAATTTCTGGAGTCGAAGTGGCTCCCTGTTTGTTACCAAAAATTTCTGGAGTCAAAGTGGCTCCCTGTTTGTTACCAAAAATTTCTGGAGTCAGAGCGACTCCCTCCGTAACCTCAGTGGAGTCATCTAAACAATTTTGGTGTAAAATACGCCAAATTTGGCATATTTGTGAACCCTGCTTTAGGTGTTGACAGTGAATGCTGCCTTCAACACTGTGTTACTTCTTTCATGATCATTTCTGCACACAACCCTATGGGGAAAATGTATGGGTAAAGATACTGGCTTGTCATATATATCTTAACTGTTCCTACATACACATATACTAGAAGTTCTCATTGAGAAGGGAAGTGCTGCCATTAGTTGCGAAGCGAATAGGACAAAGACAGTTTGTAGAACAGTTGAACATGTGAATTCTTTTTTATTTAATTCAATAACTTAGACTTGCTGGCATTATGAAACACTCAGAGCATAATATAAAAAATGAACAGATCACGATGACAAATATGCTTACATTCATATAACTCGCTAAGGTTTCAATACCACTTTGTAATTTGTAATGTAATAATTCACGAAATTCTAAAACAACAGCATTGCTGATAGGCTGTTTCTTCATCGAACAATCATCGTACACAGGATCGATGAGATGAGTTGCGAACAAATGACGTAAAGGCCAAAACTTGTTTGTTCACAGGTCAGGTAGATGTACAGCACATGCCGTTCACTTATGTAACTTACCATTACAACTTCACGCCGATTTAAGTGTGTCTTTCAGAAATGGGCATAACCGCTGGATTTTGTACCCTGAAGGCTCAGTTTATTCCTCCGGACTTTCCCTTCGGGAGTGCTCGTTTTGACTCGGTTCAAAGAAGGTGAGATTTTATGGCGGAAGACTCAGAAGCGAATTCAAAGGAATTGAACAATGGCTTAATTAAGCTGCCCAGGGCCACGAAGTTTTAAAGGTATCCTTTTGTTCTAAATGTGTCAATAAAACTGCGGAGAATTATCACACATATCGCGGTAGAAGTTTATGGATTTAAGTCTTTCGCAAAACTTCTTCGACTTGGGTACGTATTTTTCAAAAAGGAGAGTTTTGAGAGCTTCAAAAAGAGATCTTGAACGAGAAATTTCGACCACTGTGGACCGAGATTGATTTTTTTTTCTTGCCGAGGTTTCAAGTATAAAGCAAGCTGCTGAAGCATTTTTTTCTCGCCTATCGCTTAATAAAATCCGGCCGGCCGAGAGTTATCCATTCATTCAATCATAACAGTTATTCACTTCTCCAGAGCAATCAAACTATACAAAACGAAATTATTTCGAGGAATTATGAATTCTGCAAGTTTTGATCTGTCGATTACAGTTTTAGATATTTCCTGTCTCACTCGATTAGCTCCGCGAATCAAGTTGTCATGCAAATCGGTGAACTGACAATACGCTGTTATTTCGGGCCCTGCAGTCACGTAACTGAAACGCAAGGTTTTTTTAAACAAAAAAACTGAAAGGCAAGCGAAAACTTCCAAAAAAGTGAAATTACACACTGATAAATCTGTGTCATCCCGTTAAATGCATTCACCGCTTGCATTGTTTACATTTTGAAGAGAGTTGTTCGCTCTTGATTGCAGAGCGCAGGTTTTGATAATACTGAATGAATAAAACGTTCTAATAAATACCTTCCGCAGCAATTCTTTAAATGCCAAATTATTTTCAAGGCAAGGGAGTATTTAATAAAAAAAATACCATAGGAGACTAGGTATTTATAAGCTTTAATCAACTTCAAATTTATCAGGCTTGTTTCGTTTGTAATACGGTGCGTGACCGAAAATATGTTATGCAACCAGAGTTGTCCGCCACACTTAAAAGACTTGTAAGCGTTCCCACAGACCGCAGCAAATTTAACAGGCAAGTCCGAGTATTTTAATGGATAAATTTAATACTCATCAGGTAACAATGGGGATTAAAAAGTCAATCAAGCAACAAAATTCGAAACAAAAGAGACATATCGCACCTAAATCAAAGGAATTCCGCTCGTGGATTCTTCGGAAGGTAATCGACAATGGCAAGAACAATAGCCTGAATATATGAATACTTGATAACCCCAAAATTTGGGGTACACACTTAAATCGGCGTGAAGTTGTAATGCAATCCTGATTACCGAGATAACAATTTGTGTGACAAAAGAATACTCGCTTTAACTAATCTTGAAACCTGAATAAAAAAAATAAACCGCAAAAATGTTCCGTACAATACGTCTTGAACTGTTCTTACCGTTTAGGCCGTTTAAAAAGACAGCAAGCATCCGATAAACTACAATTGCACAGATCTTACATGAGAGCAAAACAAAATGGCGGGTTGCTCCTAAGAGAAAAACAGGCGCGGCAGCTAAGCAAACCGCTGACTGCACAGCGCTGCAGTCACAGATGACCATCGGACCAAAAATCTCAAATGGATCAAGAATATGGTCTATATGTATTGTATATGTATTTTCTTACTTATAGGCATTTCACTGAGATAATTATTTACACTTGTACACAGCGCTCCAAGCTGAAACCATAAAGTAAAAAAATATTGGCTAGTAAACTTGCAACTAAACTGTGTTTGGCAGTCACGAGCCAAGGTGTACAAAGTTCCTTTATCAGCTAGTGTTAATAGTCTTTCCAAAGTTAAAATGAGATAAACATTTGCAAGAAATATTGTTTACGCTCTGTACTCAGACAATTTTCCTTTTTTCACCTGGGTAGGCATGATAGTTGGCCAGCCATGTTGATAAGGTGATTGGAAACTGGGTCAGATGGCAACAAAACTATAGGTATCTTCAAGTTAGCTGAAAATGTTTAAGAAACCATTTTACTACTGTGCTCTGGATTTTTGTAATGGCACTTTAGCCATCAAGCAAGTTAAAAACAGTAAGAATCAGGGGCTATACTCAAATCACGTGGTCAAAAATTCATTTGACAAATGAGTATTACGTGAAAATAGATTTCCAGCGAGAAAAAATATTCATTGCATGAGCTCTGGTGAAAAACAAAGTCGAGAAAATACGTCTGTTCGTACAGACATATAGCCTGAATTTCATCCGATTACTTCGACTTGTTATTACTCCCTCAGCAACGTCTGAATCAACCGGCTGTTAATAGGGAGGTTAAGCAACAGCGTTTTTGTCGGAAGTGTACTTTTTGCATCATTGGGCAGTGGTTCTGTTGAAACTCTCGGGTAAATCGTCTTTATAAGAGAAAAGAAACTTAGTGATACAAATTTGTTGGCGTCAAGGCATATAAAAAGGGAGAAGGACTCACTTCCGGTTGACGTCTGTCACTCAAAAACGTCTTTGCTTAAGTTCCCTAATGCCGTCCAGTGACATCACTACTCCTTGACCTTTGCTTTAATTCATGCAAAAAGTAAAACATGATTTTCAAGTGGCAAACCAAGAAATGTCGTTTGGAAAATAATGTCTGCATGATACAGAATTGCGTTAGCTTTTTTTATCGTAATTCATGTTTAACATTCAAACTATCAACTGCATGCAGTACAACTCTGAACCAGTTGTACTGAATTCTATAATCAAACTCGGTCGCAATCACGCAATGAAATAAACACAAACACGGAACACTTAGTTCAAAAACAAAATGATTTGCTTTAATTGAAAGAAGCCATTTGGTCCTTAACAAAGAAAAAAACAAGGAAACAAGAAAGAAAAGCTAACAGAATCATTACACTTGACAATGAAAATAGCAAGAAGGTCGAATTATAACATTGATCTCAAAAAACTTCGTGTAAACAAAATCACTGGCCACCGAAACCACAAAGTGGCTCTAAATGAAAAACCTGCTGACTTTCCGCAATGATTCTTCATTTGCAGTTCAATTTAGCATTTCAGTTTCGAAAACAAGGGCAATTTTGCTGTTTAAAATAAAGATTAAACTTTTAGAAATGTTTGAACTACACGAAAGAATGCCAGGGATGCGATCCGCTGAATATTAAGCGACAATCCCACTAAAAGTTTTCATAATAATTATAAATAATTATGCAAATGTTTAGACAATCACCCAATCAAAATCACTACCCAGTTTTTGGGTAGTGAGTGATGTCACTGGACAGCATTAATGGCAGGTTGATTCAGAAATTAAGGAGTAATAACGACTCGAAGTAATCGGATGAAATTCAGGCTAACAGACATCCCCCAGGCTTTGAAAATTAAGAAAAAATTATCCCTTTATAGCCTTTCTTTTATTTAATTATTGAATGGAGTTTACAATGATGTGCTGGGTAGACAATGTTTTGAGAAATTTAAAGGCTCTTTTTGCTGCCGAAGATCCATTATTTTGATGCACAAAAAGCTACTGCAACTAGGCAAAAATATACACCAATTCCACCGAAATCGACTTTTGCAGAGTACCTGTAGTGAGGACAAACTTGGAACGAAACTTGGAACAGCTTTATGCATAACACATGAAAAATGAAGTACCAGCAATCAATGTGGTCAGCACCATAACCCTTCACGTAAAATTACACCACACATGTTTTTTTCATGGTGACCTATATAATTATTATGTCTGACAACCATTTTACAATTTTAGGTCACCAAAAAGCAACTTTAAGGGTGGAGCACTGGTAATGAAGAAATAGCTCATACATACTACTGAGTTTAAATGTGCACTGACGTATTTCAGGCCAGATGTGTAAGTGCATCAGCTAAGACACATACACACTTCTGGCCAGACAATTGATCTGCATTTTCTTTGCATCCAGATGTGTATTAGTGGAGCCCCATGCGTGCGAAGCGAGTGCAGTGGAGCAATTTGGTAAACTATCCATCCGAGAAAATTTGGTTATGACGTCACCATTAGTCTATCTGTACGGACTTTCCAGGTAGAAATGAATTCCTCCCCTCTCCCCTAGAGAGTTTTGTCCCCTATTGTTTCAAAAACCTTTAGAAATGATTGCCAAATCAGAATCTGTCAACTGACCAAATGTTTGGTGGATTATAGGGGCCGACCATTTGACTTTTGAGGAGGTTATTGGTGATTTCAGAAAAATGTCGTGCAGACTGATCTCAAGGGGAAAAAAGCATGCAGATAAATTCCTGGGAGAAAAATATCCTACACTGAAAAAAATATCGCTCATGACGTATAATGCTGAAAAAAAATCTTACACCGTTATATGTCAGGGAACAAATTTCTTACTCCAGAGAGGTTTGGGAAAAAATTCTTCCAATACAAACTAAATCAGTAAAATCACCCACACCCCACTCCCCCACAAACGTCCAATGGTCATGTCAACCATTTAGGGGGTGAGGGAAGAAACGGATTTGACACCTTTGTAAAGTCATCCATCAACAAAATGGCTGGTGCGCGTTCATGATGTGGTGGTTTTCCAGAGAAGTAAGCAAATTTCTGATTACCAGAAACTTTGAAACGCGCCATGTTTACACCTGATTTTCGCAAGGAAGGCAAAATGCAAGCAGTCTCCACACTCGAAGCATGAAACAGGCCTTGCTGATTTTCTTTCATGTGTCATTCTCGACTCACAACGATTGTAAATAGCAATTTTCATGGAAAAATATAAGAAATTGTGTGCGCTAGAAGCAATTTTCTGAATACCAAACGTTTTGAAACATTTCATGGAAGGTTTCAGGTTACATTCAGCAACATCGATCTCAAAGAAACGCATCAACCTCGCAAACTTCCTCCGCCATCTCACTCGCTTTAACTCAAAGGAAGGCTTCACACCGACCTTGGTAACCACCCAAGAACTTTCCAGAAGCTTATTGTTATGCAACAAATCAACACGTGATAAAACATTCAGTACATGTACGGTTTTAGCGAAATTCTAGGGCTACAATTGTCTGCATAATTTACTTTATTTACATGATACAAACACAGCCAAAACAAAAATTTATGTCCTTACATTTCTTTTATTTTCAAAAGAACATTTTTGAGAGAAAAAATTAAGAAAACAGACCTAATAATGTTAACAAACAAGAAATGGGCGAGGACCGCAATGCATCCTGGGTACTACAAAAAATAGCTCCGATTAAGTCAAAATGAGCTAAAATGGGCTAAAATGTTGTAATTTGGTTAAAGAGGTTCATTTTCTTTGAAATAAATGATTTTAAGTGAATTTTGAAGTTTTTTAGAATTTTTCATATTTTCTTAACACGTTATGCATCTGTACTTGTGTAGTGTGCTACTGATCATATATATTGTTGTTGAAAGAGCAAATGATGACCTCTGTTAGAAAAACATTAAAAACGATGGTCTAATCAGCGCAAAACCAATCGATGTCTAGCGAAATTTGCCCCGAAAATAACCACAAAATCCGCCGTTTTTTTACCGATTGCTTTCCAGCCAAGTTTGCCCCGAAAATTCCCACGAAATTCCCGCGAAATCGGTCAATTTTTCCGCGATTTTGTTGCCAAAAATCCCGCGAAATTTGACTTTTTTTTTCTGCGACCTATCAGAAGCCCTGTTTAACAGAAGCTTCACTTTCAGTCCTGGCTAAATACATATATTATGGGTATAATGTGGTTCACTTCGTTCTGGCCTGCACTGTTTAATTCAGACAAGATCCGATGGCAAAAAATGTTAAAAATGAGTACCAATTAACAACTACACACCAATAACTGAGACTAAAAGCAAGATGGGAAACATCCCTAAGCCTTTCATGTGGGAGTCTACCATCTCATTCTAGAGGAAAAATGAATCTACAAAACTAACACTACCAGCTGTGATAAGTGAGGAGCAATAAGTAATGAATTTACATAATTATGTGCAAAATGATAGTAAATTATAAGTAGAATATTAAATTAGAGAAAAATTACAGTTTACAGGTTGTTGGCCACAAATGAGGGGCTATTCGATTTATTCAACTCTAGTTGCACCCAAAGGAGAACCACAGCTGAATAATATAATTCAATAACACAGACTGAAAACCCAATAACAAGCTTATTTATTACGTTTAGAGGCTTTGCTAAAGTCTCAAGAACTTCATTCTTTGAAAAATTATAAAGGCCTTAGAGGGCTGCAAGTGTCTTTGTCTGTATAGTTTTTAAATGGTGTGCGACAAATGCAGACTGCAGAGTTGCAGAATGGCAGGTAAACGAGGTAAACATTGTTGTGAAATGCTTTGATAGATTCCCTATCTAAACTTACTAGACTTTTAGAGAACTAAAGTTTAAGGATAGGGAATCTGTTAAAGTATTTCACAACAATGCTTACCTCATTTACCTGCGAGTCTGCAAGTCTACAGTCTGTGTTTGTCGCACACAGGTTCTTAAATGATATGTTTTTCTCCAAGACTTCCAAAACGTGTTGTGTTATCCTGTAACATATATTTTCATTACAGTAATTTTAATTTTGCACTCTTGAAAGAATTATTTTGCTTTATAAGCACTAACTTAAGACTATTTCCACCTACCCTTTATACACTTCACCAAAGGATCCTTTGCCAATTCGTTCAAGTTTTGAAAACAGAAGTTCTGGATCTGCCTTCATTCCCTAAAATTATATGGGATAAGTTCCATAAAATAACAACACTAAATGTGACAAAAAAGAAAGATTTAAAGCCTTCAACCACATTCATGACCATCAATTAAAGTGTCCCACCGTTAATTCATTTTTTCAGGTGAATTCACACGATCTACTCCAGTTAAGACTAAAGTCAACAATACGGCGTTGACAAAATAACAACTACGAAACTTAAGTTCGGGTCTCACCACATTAGTTTGTGCTGCCATGAAGTTCAAGATTGAAGCAGAGACCAGAAGAGAGGTTCATGTAAGCAGGCAAGTTGTTGGCTTCGTTTAATGTTTCGCCCTTCTCACACGGGAATTTGCGCACTTGCAGATGAAGAACCACTCATAATGCATTAAAACTGGTAAAATGATGTGTTTCTACATGAAAGTGTTGTACGTCGGGGCTCCTTTTAACATCAAAACACACTGTAGCACCCTTCTATCCACAATTTCCACGGCCGCCATCTTCCATAGCGCTCGAAGCATCACGTGACGGAAGTACATGGCTGAAGGCCCTCCTCAAATGGTGCCTTTGAAGGAACAGTTTTCAAGTAGCTACGGCAAATATGGTACATGAAATGTACAGAGAAGTAAGGCATTTTGGATAATCTGTGTACAGAACCCCCTCTCCTCAGAAAAACTCGGAGAAGGCCCCTTCTCCGAGGGGGGAGTCTGTACATAGGCTACATTTTGGTATGACCGGACGGACCATTGGAAAGAAAGGAGGTGGGGTGAAACAAACCCGTAAGCGGTGGTATCGAAAAACCTCTCGTTCACTGACATCAAAAATCTTGCAAAAATGTTTCTTAAATGAAAATGACGTGAACTGCGGAAGTACAAATTTAAATAGCTTGGCCGTGAAACCAGTGGTAGCGTCACCAAATGTCGGCTGTTTTCTCAGGCTAAAATTCAATGAAGATCTCTTCATCAAAATTTGTATTTCCGTAGTTCACATCAACTTCATTTAATGTTTCATTCCATTCACAGGTTAAGATCAACTCAACTCAACTCTCGCTTTGCACTATTACTAAAAATAGGTTTTGTCACCTTGGACCTCCCGCGTGACTCAGGCAAACCTTGCACTTAGACTACAACGTGAAAATCACCCCTCTCTTCACGCCGCGTCTCGTTTTTCTCGCGTGGGGTGGTTTTCATGCGCGCTCGCCTTTCACCCGTTCTACTATCCCTGAGGAAAATGGAGACTACTCGTAGTCTACATTCTACTCAAAGCCTTTGTATGAGCAACATGCATTTCCGACATGAAACTCGTTCATAAAATTCGCAATGAATTTTTTAAAATCTTTTTTGCGCTTTATTCTAATATATCAGGAGCCGGTAATCGGCTCCTGAATATATAAAAGACATTACTGCTATATGGAGCAAAACCTGGTCCAAGTAACTCAAATGAACGGTTAAAATCAGAAAATAAGGCGACCTGATCAAAGAAGGCTACTAGCCTGCGCGGAAGGCGCTTGAAAGGGAAGGGAAAGGGAGTTTTAGGTGCGAGAGAAACGAGAGAGGTGCGCGAGGAGGGAGGGAGGGAAACCCCTGCCAGGAGACCATTGTTTTGGCCATCCCGCCTACTAATTATGTATGCAAAAATAAGGCAACTGTGAATGACTAGCTGTCAAATAAGTCTGGCCGCGATGCACTTTAATATTTAAGTCGTATTTCGCGTACTGTTTTTCTTTTGTTTTCCTAAAACAAGAAATCTGAAGTGGAGGTACTATTGAAAAAAGTGTAAATGCGGTCGTCCGTTGGAAGAAGAACGTCGCAACCATACGTAGCTTGTTATATAAAATCCAGCATAAATCTATTACGTTTTTGCTGAACGTATCGTGTTGGACTTCCCAACTTGCATGCACTGTTTGTCGGAGAAATTAATTACAAACACTTTGCTGACTCTCGAACTGGATCCAGCGCAGCATACAACGCTGGTAGCAGGGAAAAAAGAGCAGAACTTCGAAGATCTACAATAAGGCTAATTCTGCAATCAATGTTATTATTAAAGTAAGTTCCTGGCGGCTTTATAACGTCTGTAACCAGCAAGGAGAAGTCCTCAAACCAAAAATCCTGAAAATCGCTAAGGATTATAGATCGCTTCGTCTTCAACAATCTGGTCGTTGAAAAAGCGTAGCCTGGGTGGTAGGCGTTTGAGGTCAAACAGCAGATAACAAGCGCACAGGGGGTGTATATATAAATGAAAAATTTGCAATAAATTTACACTACAGTTATAAGAAAAATTTAGCCATACAGTGACTTTGTATATTCTACAAACCCAGAAATTAGCCATTAATTAACGGCTAAATATTTCCTTCTTATAGAAATTATTTAGCCATTAATTAACGGCTAAATATTCCTTATATATATATATGTAGACTAGGTAAAATTTAGCCATTAATTAACGGCTAAACATTTCCTATATATATGAAAAGAAGGTTAACCTTAGCCATTAATTAACGGCTAAACATTTCCTACATATATTAAAAGAAGGTTAAATTAAACTTAGCCATGAATTAACGGCTAAACTGTTCCTACATATATGAAAAGAAGGCTAAACTTAGCCATTAATTAACGGCTAAACATCTCCTATATATTAGAAGAAGGTTACACTTAGCCATTATTTAACGGCTAAATATTCCTTGTATGTAAAGAAGTTTAAACTTAGCCATTAATTAACGGCTAAACATTTCCTATATATAAGAAAAGATAGTTAAACTCAGCCATTAATTAATGGCTAAATATTTCTTATACACATAAGTATAGCAGGTAACACTTAGCCGTTTATTAACGGCTAAACATTTCATTTTATATCTGTGTAGGAAGTTAAACTTAGCCGTTAATTAACGGCTAAATATTTCCTTTTCGTTTATAGAGGTTTAACTTAGCCGTTAATCAACGGCTAAATAATTCCAATATATACCTGAGAGAGGTCAAACTTAGCCATTATTTAACGGCTAAATATTTTCAACATATATACATTAAGGAGGTCAAACTTAGCCATATTTTTTTAGGAGGTTTAACTTAGCCATTAAATAACAGCTTAATATGTACGAACTATATGGACCGCGCAGGGGAGAGGCTGGGAAGCAACGGAGAAAGGCACCCCAATAGTGAACAATTTCTATTTCACTATGCCACATTAAAAGATATCTTAGGGTAATTTCCATTTGTCAGAACTGACCGACCGGCCACACCATTTCCGTCATAAGGACAATTTAACTTTCAGAAAATTATCCAAGCAGATCAATCAATTTCAAAATAGTGTACACGAAGGAGATGGTGTTTCAGCAAAAACTCTTAGAAAAAGCCTATTTCAATGTCGAAATGACTGGTCCGGCCATGGTCCGGCCGGCCACGCAGTTCTGACTTTTGGAAAGCGCCTTTAGTATAGTATCAAATGACGACTGATTACAAATGATCACTTCAGAAAACAACAACCTATTGTGTGGTGTATTAACGGCTAAGTTGAAACTCCCATTTATACACGTGGAATATATTAAGCCATTCATTAAAGGATAAATTGATTATCCCGTACCGTGGTTGTATGTAAGTAACGGCTAAGTTGTACCTTCTACGGCTCACTCAATTCCCACCCGCCCCGGGCCTTTCTTTCAGGGTGGTGGGGAATTCACAATAATGGCTCCTATAATTATGGCATTTGCAGGTGATTTCCTGGAAATGCAATTTTGGTGTTGTCCTGGGTTGGGGCATTTAAACCCCTTTATTAAGCTCCACCGCGGGGTTTTGTATGAACCGCCTAGCCCCATCGCCATTAACCTCCTCTTCAACAATATATAATAAACTCCTCTCCATATATGTATTGGAAATATTTAGCCGTTAAATAACGGCTAAGTTTTACTGTCTCTTTATATGTTGGAAATATTTAGCAGTTAAATAACGGCTAAAGACGCATGACACTTACATAGTGGGAAATGGTTAGCCGTTAAACAACGGCTAAGTTTAGCTGTCTCCTTATATATATGGGAAATATTTAGCCGTTAATTAACGGCTAAAAATGCATGACACTTATATAGTGGGAAATGGTTAGCCGTTAAATAAAGGCTATAAGTTTAGCTGTATCCTTATATATTTGGCAGGGGCACCCAACGGCAATTTTCGGGAAAATATCTGTTCGGAAGACGATTTGAGACCTAGAATTTTCGGAGCATTTGTTGTAAAATTTCTTGCTTTCCTGCCTCTCCTAGGATTTTCGAACATCTAGAAAATGGTATAATTACCCATTTTTAACGGATTTTGACCCTAAAAAAGGCCACCTAGAATTTTCGGGAGCCTTTTCCTGGCTGAAATTTTCGAGAAGGTAAGTTTTTATCCCTATAATTTTCGGATCACTAGACTTTCAGCTAGGAAATCCGAACAGATGAAAAGTTTTTAGGGGATAAAAATATGCCTATATCTACCGTTTGAATACTAAAATACGTTCAACAATGCAATGTTAAGTGGTTTTGAACTATATCCTCGTTGGGTGCCCCTGATTTGGGAAATATTTAGCCGTTAATTAACGGCTAAAATTGCATGACACTTATATAGTGGGAAATGGTTAGCCGTCAAATAACGGCTAAGTTTAGCTGTATACTTATGTCACTTATATATGTGGGAAATATGTAGCCGTTAATTAATGGCTAAATTCTTGGTTAGTCTAAATAGTAAAATTTAGCCGTTATTTAATGGCTAAATTTTTCGTTCACACCTCACTAACAACATATTTTGAAATGATTACTGAAAGATCGATTAATTTACTCAGTAGCGTGATGTTGATTTCAGCCAATCGGATTAAGGTATTAAGGCTGTGATTGACATGTTTTGAAGACGGACCAATCAGATTTTAACATTCGCCTGGTGGATGTTATTAAAGACGAGAAAAACAACGGCCTCGTGGCAGGCGTTTCCCTCCCTCCCTCCTCGCACACCTCTAGCGTTTCTCTCGCACCTAAAACTCCCTTTCCCTTCCCTCTCAAACGCCTGCCACGCAGGCTAAGAAGGCTACCGGAGATCGGATCCCTAACTCTGTCTCAGTCAGATAGCACTCTATGTCCTAAAACATGACATAACATTTCTGGCTGTGTAATACTCCAAAACCGAAATTGTTAAAGAGAAAATCGAGTTTGTACGGGCTTCTCGCAAGCCTGTTGCAGAATTTTTCTAAGCTGAAAAGCACACCAACATTGGCACAAATCGGAAATTGTCGGGGAAATTGTTTAAGTTTGTTCTATTATTGTGTGGCAAGGTAGGTACCATACAGTACTTTATATCGGCTGCATAGTACTTAGAAGTAGCTTCATATAAGCAACCTTTGAGCAGCCTTTGCCTATAAATTTAACCAAATGCACCGTTTTATGAACAACTTTGAAGCCCTAAACTCCATACATCTATTAGTAAAATGCCGCAACAAATTTTTAACCTACAGTATTGACACCTCATAAGAAATCCAGGAAGAATTAAAATCACTCATTTGTACAGTTTTTTCCGCCATGTTTAACGTTGTCTTAGCACACGTTGATTATTTTCAGGACATATGTTATCGAAACCAAGCTGGATTTTACCTCTTTTGACGATAAAATTCTTTAAAGAGTACGAAAAATTGTTGGAGAACGTGTCTTTTCCATACAAAACTCTGATACTGATCAGGTTCATTGTGCAAGTCATAACAGGGACCAGATATCTGTGACGTCATTAGTCCAAAGCGCTACCGGCCTGCTCCCAATGTATGGGTCTTCATAGCTCAGTTGTTAAAGCACTGCAGGGCTAATACAGAGGCGACACTGAGAGGCCATGGGTTCGAATTCAGTGCAAGTCGCCAATTTTTTTCGGGTTAATTTGCAATTACCACTGCGACGATCAAATCTATACGTTTCTGTTGCAATAATCTCATGTAGTCAAGTTGTGTCGCGCAAGAAATCCATGATTCCGAAGTTCTCCTATTCGATGTTACAATGCGTTGAACGTTTGAACTGTTGATATATTTACCTTTTTACAAAACAGGGTTTTCTACGATCAACTTCTCATTTTTTTTTTACCATACCAAAGCCATACTCGATGGCGGTACGTAAGACATGCCTTTTACGCGGAGAGCATACCGAAGAAAGAATTTTTATTTTTTTAAAAACATGTATTCATGACCTTTACCCTGTTTTGAAAAAATGCTTGTAGGTAAAGCTGTCACTAATCTATGGTTGCTTGAAAATTAACCATTAAGCGTATTACTGACATTACTACGACGGTAGTTTATACGGACGAATGCCAGTCACGTGACCTCTCGACATGGAAACGAGGCTGGTAGAAGTCAGTAAGATTTATAGAACAAGTCCATGATTGCCGCAAGTTCGGAATTCCTGCAATTTCTCCTTCATCCCTACCCTCGAATACCCTTATTCGCTTGTATCTAACAACGCCAATTCAAGAACCAGGCATCGGATCAAGAACCCGCAACCAAAACTAAATCTACAGCAGTTCTGCCCAACACTAAAGGGTTATCTGAACCTGTTCGTCGTTTCCTACAACATCATGGTCATCATGGCATACGTCTGTCTTACGTGCCGTTTTTTGATGTAATAATGATCGCCTTTTTCCCGAGAAAAATACAGTGAATGTCCATATTTCTAATACTAAACTAGAAAAAGGCGATCATTATTACATCAAAAGACAGCACAAGGATCTTTTTTGCCATTACAATCTTATTCTAAGAAAACTTTAAGAAAAAATGTCTCGAAAAGCGCTCCAAAATACAAACGAAATTCGCTCATGCCCCCTGGGCATCCTATAATGCTCCTTAAATCGAATTAATTCAATATGGCCGCCTTATCGGTTAATCATAATTCCACTTTTTTGTCAGCCAGGTAACCTAGCAACAAGACGCTTTGATGGGCCCTTTACTAGAAAACTGGTGATAAAATTGTCATAATGAAAGTTAAAGTTTTTAAAAGTTTGATAAGACGCTTTCTGGCGCGAGGTTAGTTTCAAAGGGCTTTTGCAACTAACCTCTCATGTATGAGAAAACGCTGGATTTAATTTGACTCCAAGACAAGGGAACTGAAAGCACATACCGACACTTTACAAAGCATTTCCCGCAATCCAAAAGCCTTGGCATTCATTGACCTTTAATGTTAGCCTCTAAAATCTACTGCCTGCCGACTTGTACTTAAAAAGATATCAAATAAGAAAAATCATTTTTTGAAGTTTTCTTTACTCAGCAATAGCTATTTCCATTATAGCGTTGAAGAAATGTTTTTGTTCCAGTAAGCCGTAGAAGTAAGGAAACATGTGACAGTGAACCTGGGGCCTTAATAATTGAGGCTACATTAAAATACTGTGAAATACAAAAATTGATGTCATTATTACATTCATTTTTAAAGACCTCTGGAATAAAGTTCCCTTCCATGCACTAAAATAAAGCAAAAAACTAACTTGCACCCAAGTAAGTTAATAAGGATGATACTAGCACAGAAATCAGTCAGGATATAACCTCCAATTAAGGCATTTCGATTTAGTTTTTCAGAGGCCATACCGATATTTTTCAATCACTTTAAAAGTGATTTTATCTTTGTCTAATAGGTATATAATTATCACAAATGATTGACTGTAGGTTGAAGTTTGTCAACATGTAGGTTTTGGTAAAATCGATATTACTATGACAACAATAAACAAAATCTTTGAAATTGATAAACGCCTAATTTTGCGCGATCTAGACCAGTTACTGAAAATCCAACACTAGGAACTTAAAGTTTGGTGTTAAGCAAATAACCTCCGTAAGAAGTAAAAAATTCAGTAAGTTTGAATTCGACTAAAACGAAAATATATTTCAAACCTTAAATTTTCAATAGCCGTGATAGATTATTTAACAAAAACGTTATAAATGACTCAGATTATTCCTAAGTAGCCTCAGAATGCTGCTTAGTATCATATTTCGAAGCTCTGAAATTTTGGTGTATTTTCGTCCTTGCGATCTTGAAAACTAACCCGTTTTCTCACCACCTGTTGAAGTGCAGCTTTATTCAAAATTTGGACTTTCAGCACTTTTTTGTACATCTCTGAAACGACTAGAACGAATTTTTTAAAAATCTCTTCACATAATCTTCATAATGTATATAATAATGTCTGAAACTTTTATTAAGATTGATTCACTGCAACACCTTGAAATTTCAAGACAAACCTATCCTACGAATCGGTCAAAAATCCGCGCAGCAACGTTCACTGTTTTGACGTTATGCTAATTTTTACCAACTAATAGGGACAATACATATACCCATGACTAGTACATTTCAGTCTGAGTATGGTCAATATTTTACATTCAAAAGATTCAAAAGGGCCTGTTTACATGGGGGACCCCAGGTTAAATTCAACCCGCCTGTCCACCATTTTAATTTGATCACGTTTACATGATAGGTTGACCCGCCAAAGCGGGTAGCCCAGTCTACCAGACCGGGTTACCCTCTCAGCCGGGGTAAAATTTTGCCATGTAAACGTTTCAAGGTGGGGTAACCCGCCTGGCCGGGGTCGGATTCGTGATACATCAAATTCGCGCAAAATTGGTTTGCATTTTGTTTTCAAAACACGTGGTTTGCCAGCATTTTTCTTGTTTACGTGCTTAGCGACCATTCAATAATCTTGAGAGAGTGCACCCCGGGATGGCGGGCCTGTAAGATTGCATGTAAAGGGGGGTTATTTTTTTACCTCACCTAAGCAGGTTACCTCACCTTCCTGGGGTCCCCCACTCCATGTAAACAGGGTCTCAATTGTACTAATCATGGAGGTATGTGTAGTGCACATTATTTTGGAAAAATTAGCATAACGTCAAAACAGTGAATGCTGTAACGCAGATTTTTGACAGGTTCGTAGGATAGGTTTGTCTTGAAATTTTAACATGTTGCATTGAATCAATCTCAATGAAAGCTTCAGGCCTTATCATATACATTACCAGGCCTGATACATTATGAAGATTATGTGAAGAGATTTTGAAAAAATTCGTTCGAGTCGTTTCAGAGATATGCAAAAAAGCGCTAAAAGTCTAAATTTTGAATGAAATTGCACTTAGGCAGGTGGTGAGAAAACGGGTTAGTTTTCAAGATCGCAAGAACAATAATACACCAAAATTTCCTAGCATCAAAAGCCGATGATATTAAGCAGCGTTCTGACGCTACTTAAGAATAATTTGAATCATTTATAACGTTTTTATTAAATAATCTATCACGGCTATTGAAAATTTAAGGTTTGAAATATATTTTCGTTTTAGTCGAATTCAAACACAATGTTTTACTTCCTACGGAAATTGTTTGCTAAGCCCCAAACTTTAAGTCCCTAGTGTTGGATTTTCAGTAGCTGGTTTAGGTCACACAAAATTAGGCTTTTCCCACTTTTAAGGCGATTAAAAAATATCGGTATGGCCTCTGAAAAACTGTATCGAAACACTTTAACTCTGGGAAAAAAAGACATCTTTGTGGCAATTTGCTATTCAGCGTCCAAAAATGAGATAAAAATGTTGCCTCTTTTCTGAATTTCTGTTTGTTGTAGGGCACCTATAGCCAACTATGTGACTATTCGTTTTCGTTATATGCTACTTTTATTTAAGTATATTTGTTCATTTATTTCCTGCTAAGAATTTGTACAAGGCTCATTTGGTGTTCTTTGGCGCGAAGACGAAGGGAAGCGATGCTTGATTCTCTGCTGCCATCCCTCACTATTCCGCCGTTAAGGTCTGGTACGCCTTCTATTCCACGCGTCACCTCGTCAATGCGATAGGGAGGTGCTAAAAAGCATGGGCCGCCTGCTGACATGCCACAGGAACAAGCACATTCCCGAGATTCGGAACACGGAGGACGAACAATGCTAGGAACTGTGGAGCGAAAGCATGAAATGGATTGTGGCGACGCCGGGTAAAACTGCGAGCAAATATCCCTGGAAATGTTATTCACTATACCAGCAGTGAAGGGCTGCATCGGGTAAGGCGTGTTAGTCTGGTGTAGCCAAGGAAAGACAAGACCATGTCCGGGTGGAATGGCACCAAACGTACACAGCTTTTCTCTCTTTCGCCACTTCGCGCGTCTGTTCTGAAACCAAACCTGTCAAACGAAAAAAATGATTAGTTCATCCTTTGTAGATTAGAAATTATCTGTTTACAGTGTAACATCCAAATTTTAAAAGATGCAATGGTGTTTCTTCGTGCATTTAGTAAACACAAAATTGTAAATGTGCCTTTTTTCAAGTATAAACGATAGAAAATTCTTCCTAGCGTTCGTTAATTTCTTTCGGCCATTGTCTGAGAGGCATGACGACTCACTGCCGTTTCTCAGATTCCGACATTAAATTAAATGTCTGAATTTCAATTGAAGTGCGACAAATCACAATGAAATGCCTTTATTACAAACGCAATTTATTTTGTGGATTTATGGATCTTTAATTGTTAAATAAACTGCTTTTAGACACGCACCACTACATGAGGTCAGACCGTTGATTAGTTGATCAGTCTATCTTTCTTTTACCTCAGATATCATAATTCTTCAGAGATTTCGGATTCCATCATTAAGAAAACTACCTTAAATAGTGAAGGACAACAGTTGAGCTTGTTTTATAGGCTTCATTAGAATTAGATTAAAGTTGCAAGAAAGTTGCAAAAAACACGCCACTTGCAAGTGCATGTCGCAGACATCAAACTGTTACTCAGCAGTGCTGAATGCGGCATTAAATTTTTAGCTAAACAGATCACTTTATAGTAATTTTACGCCTTACGCCAGTGTTCAACCAGGTCTGGTGACTAAAGGCCTTCGAATCAGGTTATGAAGCGGCGCATACCTGAATTCGCGCTTCAGTCAAACCGAGCTTTGCTGCTAACTCTTCTCGTGCAAATACATCAGGATATGGGGCTTTATCAAATGCTCTTTCTAGTTCTTCAAGTTGGTATTGACTGAACGTTGTACGATAGCGGGTTTTCTTCTTTTTCGCTGCATTTAAGCCATCTTCAGGGGATAAATTCGCTTCCTCGTCTTTCAACACTTCAGCCTGGGATGTTTGCTCACCAGCTGCCACCTCAACGCCGTTTTTCTCTGAAACAGACAGAAATACGTTGTACAATATATCAAGAAAAAGAGGAAAAACATATTTACAGCTGCTACAAGTAAAGATTTAGCGTTCAAAATAATTTTTGTACATATTACAGAATTTGCGTTTTCTGAGCCAAAAGTAAAACATAGCATGAAGTAATTATAAATTTACCATGTTTTACCCATTTTCTCGTGTACTGACTTAAAAAGTCCTAAAGCGTAGTCAAATCAGTGGTCTGGTAAGCTGTGCAAAAGGAATTGTTTTTAAACTGAAAAGTTATTACCAAACCACCTAGTTAACAACTTATATAAACTAACGCAGTGTAAAAAACTAACCGGTGTTAAAATTCATTTCGGGCCACCCGTAATCTTGATTCCGGCAGCTCAACACGATTTGGGTTAGCGATGCTCTGGCTTTGAACTGTTCAAAAACAGATGGAGGAAGGAGTTTTGTGCTTTCCCTTGGCGTGACGGGAAAACTCATAAACTTTTAAGAGATGTATTTCATAATTAGCTTTTAACCCAATGAAAACACATCAGCTTAGGGGTAAACAGATATCACTTCAATTTAGTATATTTTACTACTCTTCTTTGCCATATTGTCAACGCGATTTCGTTTGCGTGGTAATTTCGCTTTAATACTATAAGAAAACAAATGAAAAGCAGCAATTTTATACATTCGCTTTGTTTTGTCGCACGACGAAAACAGCACAGCAAGAGAGGAATGAATTTCCTTAACGGTAGGATTTTTAGATTACGATTTGGCAAGCCGAGCACTTGAAAAATAACCTCGGTGAGGTTTTATTCAAATAGACCACTTTTGTATAGCAGCCAAAAGTAATAACTATTCTTTCATACAAATTGATGTAAATTGAATTGAATATTAGCAGTTATTAGAGGCCAGATGGTAACAGCTGCTTACTTAAGTGGTGACTAGCCTTAATAAAGTTTACAGCAAGCAGTTTCTGCGCCGTGCATGAGATCAGGAAAGTTCTGGGTTGTCAATTCACTTTCACTTATTTACTGCAATATTAAGAATAAAAAAAAGAAGAAAAAGGTATCCGCCATGTTTTTTATCAATAACCATAATGGCTAGCTGGATACAGAGTACTGAGGATAGAGTTGTACAGTGCCGTTATCTGTAAAATCCACCAGTTCACAAAATTGTGTGAACAATAATTGCATTGGCTATTGGTGTTTGGCTACAGCCTTCTTTTGACTTCGATCTCTACCATACCTAACCTTACATAATTTCGCTACAGTTTTACCACAGGAAAAGGGAAAAAGGAAAAAGGAAAAGGGATCTTGACCAGCTGAAGTAAATGTTCTTCTTTTCCTTTAGAAGCATACTGGACTAGTAACTTTTGAGGAAATCATATCTGAGGTCAGTCGTAGGCAATTCGGCTTGCAGACTAAATTGCTGATAAATCTTGAAAACTTTTAGCTGTCGGAGTGTTGAAGATTCACGTGGTAATAAATTAAGAGACAACGAAATTTGATTCTCCATGTTACCTGAACTTCAGTTCATATTCATTTTATCTGAACTGGAAGGAAGAATTAGAAAATTTCCGGCGAATTTTCTCCAACAGAAAATTCGAGGGTGGACTAGCTTCTGTTAAGGCGGGTATTTTGAGTGAGGCGGTTTAGTTTGCGTTTGTTTACGATATGGTAGAGAGAATAGATAGAAAATGAAAAGAAGCCGTGATGCTGCATATTGAACGGAAACATCTCGTATTTCTGGCCAAACTATATACCGCAGGCGATAGCTTTCAGTAAGAAGAACTTTGAAGTCCTTTTCAAAACTTGTCTGCTTTTAAAGTGAACAAAGTGACGCCATAGAAACTATAAGCTTCCCTCCAAAAGAGTCTGACAGTTTTCAACAAATTACCTTCTACAGCTTCTTGATCCGTATTTTGATCGCAGCTTTGACCATTTATCGACTCGGTTTCAGTAACTAGTCCAAGAATGTCATTGATAGTATATGAATTGGATCGTCCGGTTCTTTCCGGCTTTGGGTGAAAGCTTTGATCGTTGTGTCTCGTCTCCATCCAGTTACGGTCCTTGTTACCAGTTTGGGTTTGTGCCTTCGTTTAACGAACGCGCTTTGAGTGTCCGGTCATAATGATAGAGTTAGTTTTACATGAGGTGGTAAACCCGCAGGGTGAATTTTCAAACCTCACAGTGACCGACTGGCTAAATTAAATTGCTATTATTAGCAAAGAGATCCTTACTTGGCGGTTTTCTTTTGGCTGAAAATTGGCTTTTCACAACCAATCAAAGCATTTATCGCCGAACACAGTTATTGGCAAAACATTGATTCAAGCAAAATATAATTAGAATTTATTAACATTAATCCCTATCTAGATTAACATAACAATCCTATAGAACTCCAATAAAGACCTAATTATATCAACATTAAACTCTTTTTATGAGATACGAAGGTCACAATTTACAACAACAGTGCTGGAGGCAAAGACTTTTGTGTACAACGAACTTATAAACTTTCCCTCGCAGTTAATAGTACAGATTTCAAAACTTTTCGGCGTAGCTAGACTAAGTTGCCATGTTGGATTTATCGTTATTTGATGCAAAGCAAAGCAAACAAGAAAAGGGAGTAAGGAAAATTCGATATAATGAAATTTACACATTTTTGATGAAAAGTAATTGGTCGTAATTGCCGCCATCTTGCGAGTGTCATGGAAAAAAATCATTTTAATTAACACTGCCTTTCTTTGTCTGTCATCCTTATCAACAAATATTTTCAAAGTTATCAGGTTTTCTTAAAGTACATATGAATAACTGGTTGAGTTATCATTTCAGATTTAAGCGTGTTACCATAAATTGCTCTAGCTTATCTAGTTGCGGCATCAGCCTGTTTGTGCCGTTCATAAAACTACTCAAAAATGTTTTACAGTGAACGAAAGCCAATGATATGAGGTAAAGAAACGACGAAAGAAAACGGAGCATCATCTAGGTTTGCTAAATTCAGTCGGACTATTCTTAGGTTTCTTACTCCAACAACTAAAATAAATAAAGCCCTTAAACATTTTTAAAAGCATTTTTGCCGCAGATCCGTGTGCAAATTAAACGATCAAAACATTTCAATCGCAAGTTTTAAGTGGAAACAAACAAACTCAATGTCCTCAATTTGTTCCTCGGCGGTTCAGAAAAAAAGAACCCATTTTAAGTTATTATTTTATTGCTAACCCTCCACACAAGAACCTCACAAGAAGAGAGTGTTAATCTTCCAACTAAAGAGGAATTTTGAAATTTGCAATTTCGATATAACTCCTGAAGCAGTTTTCTTTAGCAAAGAAGGAAATTAAAACAAGGGTGGCTTAAAAGAGATTAATGCAATTAACGCTCTTTATCGAGCAGCTCGAGCCGACTTCGTTGGCTTCCAGAAAAAACTGTCATTTGCAGGAAATTAAACCAACACGGACCAACGGAAATTTGTTTGGAATAAATACGGTTAGAATTCTACAAAAGTGCAGAAAACATTCCTTTGAAAAAAAGACCTATAGAAAAAATGTTGAAGGGATTGCTTGCGTGTTTTCGACGGGACTATAGATGTTATTACGTCGGTATCATCACGACGGTTTAGCGTGTTTTGTCGAAACTTTCACCGACCTGTCAAACTCTATTGATATGTAATTAACCTCTTAATTAATATCATCTCCTAATTAGAAATGATTAGAAGAGGCGAGAAGCCGCTCGCGTTAATAAGATATTCGTTGATGCAGTAGCAGGAAATTGTAAACAAACGATATTACATAGCCGCAGGACTTCACTCAAACCTTGGATGGCGCGCGACCACAAGACAACAAACTTAGTGTTAGTAGGCAAACAACCTCAAGTGTATAAGCAACGAGGCTAAAGCTTAAATACCTCAATCGGCAAGTTTGAAGTGGACACTTATTATTTTACAAACTAATAACTGTTGTCGCTAATTAGTCTGTCTAACTTGAGACAATTTAATTGTTGCAATTGAAAAACCCTTCTCTATCCCACCATACTTCAAGCATAACCGCTTTCGCTTTAGGACATACCGGAGTTATGAAAAATTTAATCCAGTTAATAAGCGTTTTTTATTTCTTTCACTGCAGCAAACCGATCGTGGCAAACAGCGGTTATCATTGTGGCTGTACTTTTCAGTTCATTCACTTGCATGTGGCTTTCTAAAGGAAACAATTTAGGCGCTACTGAAAGGTACTGATCAAAACTGAGCACTACATGTACTTAGTTCAAGTATGAAATATATGCCATTTCGACAATCATTATGCATGGGCTCTTTAATCTGTGATAGTAAATGTTTCTCTTGTCATTATTCTGGATAAAAAAGCAATTAAAAAATTATAAGTGCTCGATCATTAGTTTTGTGAATGGAATGTGACAATGACAGGAAAAGACTAATGGTCATGCAGTGGACCAATTTGTCTTAAGTGCATTTCAAATATTTTGAATAACAGTTTGAATTTCGTCGGGTACTCTCACGTTCAAGAGGGAATATTCATGATGAACATTTTATTTTCCTTGCTTTCATCAACTTCCAGATAAAAAAAAGTCAAGCAAGGGTTATGAAAGGTCGACAAAGGTGCTGCTCCTCTTTTGGCAGTGCAGTTGTACCTCTCCATGAGAAGAGCTCCTTGTTTAGTATCACATATGTTATTTTATCAAATACTTTTGTAATTATTTTTGACTCCATACCCAAGGTGCATATCTACAGCCTATCTATACAGTTTTTTTCTCTCACTCTTCGATCCGAACATCCCAAGGTGCTACACAGTTGATTATTTATCAGCACTTTTTAACTTGACTACCCTTTCCGGGAAATGTTCACACTACTTGTTTGCGTAGGTAAACCGTTTGATTAGACAATTCCCTATGTCACTGCTATGTATAATTCTTACTTCTCTGTCATGTCGCTGCTCAGCTCAATTTGAGCTAGTTTAGAACACTCGCAGAAAATCTGACGGACAGTCTCCTCCTTTGTCCCTCCCCTACACATTATAGACAGCGGTGAGACATCTTGTTGGTCAATATGAGCGTTGTTTCTAAGGGTTTGTT